CAGTTCTTGTACTGGATTACTGAAGCATAGATTCCTCAATGCGTTCTGTGCTTGTGTTTTTCTTTGGTAGGTGGAGACCATCTTGTTGAGCATCATCTCCATGCTCTCTAGCCCCAACGACGAATCGCCTGCTAATATCGACGCAGCGGTGAGCAGTGTGATCTGAGCCCCGCATCACCGTGTCTTTATGTTTCTGGGTTTCTGCGTTTCTGCGTTGCTGTGTTGCTGGGTTGCTGGGTTGCTGTGTTGCTGTGTTGCTGGATTGCTGGATTGCTGGGTTGCTGGGTTGCTGTGTTGCTGTGTTGCAAAGCTACAGTCATTGTGTGAGCTCACCAGTCCTGATGCCAATGCATTGCCTCCTATTGTCCCTTTAAATTCTTGCTCACTTTCCCTCTTGCCCTCTCACTCTTCTCTCGCCATCTTGCCTCCCCTTGCACCTTCCCTTTCAACTCGTACCATCTCCCCTCATGCACCTTTTCCCACCTGGTCTTCCCATTCTTTTGCGCTCTTATTCTCTTTTGCCCCTTTGCGTTCCTCACTCTCGTTCACTCCTCCTCCCCATTTACCTGCAATATGGCTTCTGCTGCCAGCCTCATGCTTCCTTCCCCCTCACACCTAGTCACCACCTTGTTAGATGTATAATATGTCTCGCCTAACTCTCCCTTCTCCCATCCCTTCCCCAAACCCACTTTCCTTGCCTTTTAAGCACACATGCCCACATACATTTTTGTCTGCTCAGCACCCCTTCATGTGGTTCAACGCCTGAGCTGTGCCCTTGTCCCTTATTGTTTTTTTTATATATATATACAGAAAGAGTGGCGGGAGACACGTGACGTCTTCAAGAAGAAGGTTGGCAGATGTGTAAGAAAATCACAAGAGGAGATGTGACCTTGCGTGGGACATCCTTATCGAAGTGTGTAGGCTTTTTGGTTAGGTAAAGGTCAGTCTAGAGCCTTGCCCTATTGTTGTAAGTTCCACCTTTTTTAGCAGAAAGCATTAGTTAGGAAACTGTTCCCCAATGCATATGGAGTTTGGTGAGTGATCCTTAAACACTACACTGCTTCTGTGATCTGTTGGGCTTGAGTAGCTCGACCTAGTATGAACTATTCCGGTTTTCATCTATGCCAGATTCTGTACTTTAAAACTTCACAATTTGGGAGTCTTCCTACTACCCTTGTCACTCTGCTTCAGCTCAAGGTTTTGCACATGCACTATCCACGGGGCAGACTAGTCCCAGTACCGTAATTGGCATTGGAGGGGAATGAGATGTGAATGCACATTGCCGTCTGTACAATGTGCGATAAAGGTACCACTTTCATCTGTCCTGCACCTCGGTAATAGCTACAGTTCACCATTATGAAGTGGTCGTTTACCAGCAACATGCAAATAGAGATTGCAGTACTTGTTGTGTCCATTATTCCTTTGAAGTTCGATCCACAACACATGTAGCATGTGAAACAGTGCTTACTCAAGGTCTAGGGTGAACTATAGCGGGAAGGGGATGCAATGGCCAGAGTCCACGTAGGGTCCGAAGCGCGTCCTCTAGGGGTTTGCCTTTTTGCGTTTTGACGACGAACACGTGGCCCTTCTTGAACCCAACCCAAGCCTCCTAGCTGGGAACCAGTCTTCAAAGCTGCCACGTCAGTGTGCGGGTGTGTATGTCCCATCTCATGCACACCACACCGCCATTTTATTGTTCCATTGCCCGTAACACCGCAGCACGAGTGAGTCAAGCCTCACCACGCTTTTCATTTGCTGCCCGAAACCATCCATTTGTCGGTCGGATTGCAGTGCGAACGCTTTTGTGGACTCCGGTGTCTCTCATTGGATAGCACTTGAAAATTGTGTGGGCAAACAGGCGAGTCGCGTTCCTTTGGGCTTGGAGCAAAAGCAACCTTGAGAATATGCTTGGCGGGGGAACAACCCCCGAGGCCTCGCATACTACGTCATCACCGCCACTACCTGATTGGTCGAAGCGGTTCGTCCAACAAACCACAGGCTCCTCTCCCGTTTTGCATAAACATTTAGTTTCAGCTCAGTTCTGTAAGACTTAGCTAACTCTGTGTGCTTTGGCTTGTCCAGTCAAGCCGTTCCTACTCTCCAGCTTTCTTTCTTCGGTGTTTGCGTCAGAATTTCTGCAGTCATGGCCGCTTCTAACGACTATGGCTCCTTCACTGCCGTGAACCTCGAGCGCGAGCCCTACTGGCCCGAGAAGAAGCTCAGGATCTCCGTCACTGGAGCTGGCGGCTTCATCGGGTCGCACATTGCCCGCCGATTGAAATCGGAGGGTCACTATGTGATCGCGTCGGACTGGAAGAGGAACGAGCACATGACCGAGGACATGTTCTGCGACGAGTTTCATCTCGTCGATCTACGTGTTATGGACAACTGTCTCAAGGTCACCAAGGGAGTGGAGCATGTGTTCAACCTGGCTGCAGACATGGGTGGCATGGGTTTCATCCAGTCGAATCACTCCGTGATTCTGTACAACAACACCATGATCAGCTTCAACATGCTCGAGGCTGCTCGCATCAACGGCATTTCTCGGTAAGGCTCTCGAAATTATTTGAATTATGCATATTGAGTTTACGAGATTCACGCGTGACGGGCCTGACGTCTTTTCGGTGTGTCACTCTTGCAGCTTCTTCTATGCCTCGAGTGCATGCATCTACCCTGAGTTCCGTCAACTTGAGACCGACAACGTCAACTTGAAAGAGTCAGATGCCTGGCCCGCCGAGGTGAGTTTATTGGATTGCGTAACTTTCGCATCGGTTTGCATTTTAAACGAGTTGGATTGGGTCTTTTCTTGGTGGAGGATACTTGTTCACATGTAAGATCTGACACGGACTCTGCCTCTCTGCAGCCCCAAGACGCGTACGGTCTTGAGAAGCTGGTGACCGAGGAGCTGTGCAAGCATTACACTAAGGACTTCGGCGTGGAGTGCAGAATTGGCCGTTTCCACAACATCTACGGTCCCTTCGGCACCTGGAAGGGTACGTTTCTGTATTGACACACATTGGTCCCTTTTAATTCCTAGTCCTAAAGCTTCCTAGTTGCACTCTCAAGTCAAAGAACGGATTTGACGGAATTTGCTTCCTGTTACAGGTGGCCGCGAGAAGGCGCCAGCAGCGTTTTGCCGCAAGGTGCTTACTTCCAAGGATCACTTCGAGATGTGGGGTGATGGCAAGCAGACGAGGTCCTTCACCTTCATCGACGAGTGTGTGGAAGGCGTGCTCAGGTATGTGGGTGTGTAATGCATGCAACCCTCAACGAACAATCGACGCATGTTGCTGCTAGCAAAACGCGATAAAGATGTACAGATCGAGTCACCTGAATTACACTTTTAGTGTCTGGATCATTTTCTATAATTTTTAGCCTCGGACCCCGCGTTGCGCTGTCGTCCTGTCGTACCTTTCCACGACCATACGTTTATAAGCTCGTTGACATAAGCTCTGCCTTTGTGTTGCAATCGCAGGCTGACCAAGTCTGACTTCAGGGAGCCGTTGAACATTGGGAGTGACGAGTGCGTGAGCATGAACGATATGGCGGCCATGGTGATGAGCATCGACCACAAGGATCTGCCCATCAAACACATCCCGGGTCCTGAGGGGGTGCGTGGGCGCAACTCGGACAACACGCTTATCCGGGAGAAGCTGGGCTGGGCTCCGTCCATGAAGCTCATTGTGAGTAATCTAGCTACCATTCACTTAACTCCTTGTGCTACTGTGTTTTTCCCTCCTGATTCTTCCTGCTTTTCACCCTACTACCTGGATTTGCGAGTCTTTCTATGGCCATTCTTCAGCACAGTTCTGACGATGCTTCCTGGTTAAATCTTGCAGGATGGTCTGACGATCACGTACAAGTGGATCACGACACAAATTGAGAAGGAGAAGGCCAAGGGTACTGATGCGTCAACATTCTCCTCTTCTAAGGTGGTCGGCACATCAGCACCTGTAGAGCTAGGATCGCTAAGGAAGGCTGACGGGGAGGAGTAAATCATGTGGTTTTCAAAAACATCACTCGAAAATACGTCTCAGAAGCTTCTTTAGTGCTGACAAGTGACTGGTAGCTACTGCTGTGACGCTGCCCAGCCTGCTCTACATTCTTTGCTTGTGCCCAAGCCCATAATCTCGCTCATGTTGTAGCAATTTCTGTAATTTGTCCACTTCCAATACAATGTTTTCTTGAAAGATACTTCCACGTGTAAGCAAAAAGCGTGTAAGTATAAATGGGACCGTATGTGAATGACATTCTCTAGGTTTGTGGGATTGCAGATCATCTGCAATTGATTCTAAAAAACTCATGACAGTGACCCATAATTCGCAGGTATGTTTCATTTCAATCAAACCTTGAAAAAGCAGTTATATGAGCTTGTGGATTTGATCACATCAAGCCTTGTGGCAGTGTAATTTGTATCCATTGTAGCTTACAATATCTTTCCCAGCAAAACATGTTACGATGCTGGTATGGTATCCATCACAGCTTGAGAAATGACCCTGGGGATGCACCACTAGGTGACCCACCACTTCTATCCCGCTCACTTCCATCGTCCCCATGGTTGAACCCTTGCGTTTTAGCCAAAGCTCCCACATGCCGTTCTGCGGCTGGCTGCGATTGATGCACAAGTGGTCGCTGCTGCTGTTCTCCCATCTGCTGTTCCCTGTTCCAAGTACCATGCTGTCCAGATCCGCTCTGCTGGCAAGTGGGGTGGAGAAGAGGTTCTTCGGCCAGCTTCAGGCTTGTGGCTGCTGCTTGCAAAGAGGGATTTTGGGGGGATTCACAGGACTGGCAAAGCTTCCATGTTACTTGAATATCCTTCCTTCCGCTGCTACCTTCGCCAGGCTGCCTCCGCTGTTCGCCTCCCTCCCTTGCATGTAGATTCTGTTGTTGCTGCAGCTGTTCCTCATGCTGCTGCTGCTGTGTTCTCTGCACATGTAACAAAACAAGGCAATATTAGTGTCAGCGCCTGTAACCTCTTAGCGAATTCAACTCTAACCCCTTCAACAGGAAAGACGGAAAAGTGTCAAGGCCCAACCACTCACACTGAGCCTCTCCCTGAGGCGGCGATTCTCATCAGCGAGTGTCTGGCAGCGCCGCCTCAACCCGTCCAGCTCCACTTCTGTATCCTTCACCTTGGTACGAGCCCTGCGGTTCTGAAACCACACCTCCACCTGCCTCACTCTCACGCCCAACTGCCCTGCCAATGCGCTCTTTTCCCTGGGAGTGAGCCTCGGGGTTTTCCTGAATACTGCCTCCATTGTGCTCTGCTGCTCCTGTGATAGCCGCATCTTCCTCTTGTTCCCGCTTCCCTCCGCGTCTTCCCCTGCTTCTGCTGACACCGCTTCCCCCTCCTCTCCCCCTTCTGCTCCTTCAGTCCCCCTCTCACCTGCTTCCCCTTGCTCTCCCCATTCTGCTCCCCTGGGTTCTCGTTCTCCTTCTTCCCCATACCCGCGCCCCTCTCTGGTTCTCTTCCCTGCATGGACACCTGCAGCAGTTGCACCAAGAGCTGTTCCAACAGCAGTCACATTAGGAGTAGGCGGCATGGAAACAGCAGCAGTAGGAGTAGCAGCCATGCTGTTGCCAGCAGCAGAGTTATTCCTGGCAGCAGCAGTAGCAGCCACATTACCAGCATTGCCACCAGAAGTCCCAGCAGCAGCACGTCCCGAGGCAGCAGCAAGAATTGCTCCGAGCCTCTCCGACAAGTCTGGATCCAAGCCTGCTGCCGCCCTTGCCACACCCATCCCCCCAGCCTCGCCCACAACTGCCACACCTTCTGACCCCCGCCTCCCCGTTCTCCACCCCTCCTCCAACCTATCCATTTTAAGCCTCGTCCCGACCTCCCTACCTGCATCCCCGGCTTCCCTTTCCCCTCTCCAGTTGCTGTCTACTGCCCTTCCCACTGCCTTCCCCCCTACCGTCTCATCTCCCTTTTCACCATCTCCTGGCCTCGTCGTTTGTCCTTCATTTCCTATTCGTGTCTGTAAAATTGGTCGCACGCCCGCATCTGCTGTTGTCGCTGCCGCTGCCGCCGCCGCCGCTGCTGTCAAGAGTCCAGGATGGTTTTTGAGAAACTCAAGTCCCCGCGCCCAAACTGCAGGCTCGATTCCTGAAGGTGCTGGCATATTTTGCACTACATGCGAATTGTGCTGATGAGTTCGCTGTAAATGCAAGTGAGGTTGATACAATTGTAACGCTGGGCCGGAGTGTAGTTGTGACCCACTCACGTCACGACCACCTTCGCCACCTCGATGTGCACCACCCAACGATCTCAACCATTCGAATTCTGTCTCTGCGATAGCACCTGCATTTGCGCGTTTTCCTTCCGCCCCTCCGCCTACATAATTCGCCCCCCTTGTTTGCGCTGCCGCCGATTCCCCCTCGTCGTTATCCATTCGCCTCCCCGATTCTCTACCACCTACCCCGAGCGCTATATGTCCCCTTTCCGCGCTTATGCCAAGTTCACCGCCGCCGTTTCCCCCTTCGCCTGGCGAGTGCGCACTCTTACTCTGCGCGAGCGGCGCTGTGACGGGTCCTGCCGCGCCCCAGAGACGCGCCAGCAGCGGGAGATTCTCCTGAACCCCTGCATTCCCGCCTGGCGCGCCCAAAAGCCGCGCCAGCGCAAGCTCTGCTGCGGACCCAGCGCTCGCGTTGGGGTAGGAAGCGGAAGCGGAAGCGGTAGGTGCTGATGTTGGGGAAGGAGCCGCGGGAGCGGAGGCTCTGGCCAGGGGAAGAGGGGGAGAGGAGAACGGTGCGGTAGTTGCGGGAGGAGCTCCAGGGAACTGTGCAACGGAATCCACCACCACCGCTGCTGCATCGTACGTCAACGGCGCCGCCGCAGGCGGCGGCGCTGGCGGAATGTTGGAGCCGCCCGGCGAATCGGGCGACGTCGAAAAGGGAGCTCGCCGAGCTCCGCTTGGAGCGGCAAAAAAATGCGGCGGTCGAGTCGGTGGGGGAACTGCGCTATTAGGAGCATTTGCCGCGCCACGATTGAGAAACACATCGTTTGGCTGTCGTGCCGAGAATCGGCCTGCTGACTCCGCCACAAGAAGAGACGGGGAGAACGGCCGCGAGCGGAACAGAATCTCTTGTAGCTGGTACTCCTGTAGATGCTCTGGGTGCTGTTGCTGCTGCTGCTGCTGCTGCTGCCGAACCTGTTGAAGAGCCTCGGACGGAGCTTTGGCAGGGCGGTTAGCATCAGTGGTAGTACTAACCAGCGACATTCCCAAGGTGGCCGCGAGGGAACCTCCCGCTGCGGGCGGACTACGCGTTCGGCTGTTCGACGTGGGGAACCTTTCCAGCTGCGAGCTCGCCTCTGCCGCCGCTGGCCTCGTGCTTGACGCGCTTCGAGAAAGCACCGCTTCGTCGGCGAATCGCGGAGTGGCGTCTCGCAAAGAGGCCGCGTCTCCCCTTCTGGAAGCGCCGGCGGGCGGCGTCAGCGTGAGGGCCAAGTCCGTCGCCAGCAGATCCCCCGCCGCGTCGGCATTCTCGAGGCGGCTGTTCGCCCCGTCCATTTGCGCTTCCAGGCTTCGACGACGACTGGTGCGTGCCGTCGAAAGCGCTGCTGCCGTCGCAGCGGCTTAGAAGTACGACCGCGAATAGAGGCGTTCGAGGTGCACGAATGCCAGAAGCAATGCGTGTGGTGGCTACCGTACCGGGCGTGACTGTTACTATACTGCCTCTGTGTCAGGTTACTCAGCTAGCGTAACACCGCTCAGCGCATGCTGATCACCGTGCGCCGCATGAAATTCCTTCTCGAGGTCAGGCGGCGCCTCAGGTGCAGCCACTACACCTCAACCCGCCTGCCGCGCCGCGCCATCGGCCACATCGCCGAGTAAAGGTTTTTAGCCTAGAGTCAACTGAAAGCCCGCTGTGACGAGTGCGAAGCGGTCCAGAAGGCGCACGTGACCGTGCCTCTCAGGAACATAGCTAAGTCCTGGTTCTGAGTTGCTGAATACAGCGATCCACGGCGGGACGTGGCGCGATGAGAAAGCTGAGCAGATGTACCAATTGCCAAAGCAGTGCCGCTGAACTTCAGCACTGTGTTGAACACAGTTGTAACCTCTCTCTGTTGTCGTGCTGTCGGTGCTGTGGGCGCAACAGTCGGTGAGACGAACATCTGCTGTCACAGTACGTAGCTGATGTGAATTGATTGCGCCAATCAAGCGGAAGAAAAGAGATTAATGAAGGCGGAAGGTTCTCGGAAGGCTCTTTTTCCGTGAAAAGATATGTCTACGATTGCTGTAACAGTAAGTTTGCCCTGCTTTGCTTGATCGAAGGCGAAGATGTCATGAGGTCTGCCTGCAGGCGTTCTAAACTCCAATGATCTGATCACCGCGGATGTAAAGCCAATCAGAGGGCTGACGTGTGCGTACGTTTGTTCTCTCGTACAGTACTGCACTTGTAACGAACCATCATGAACATGGACGACTATCGAGCAGAATGCGGTTCACGATGCCCGCACGATGAAGGAGACATGGCCAGTGGCCACTGCACTGCAATACAATTCGCATTCTGTGATCGGATCGGAATTCATGCACAGGTCTGCAGAAATGGCGAAACCGTTTTTCTCGGTCGGTGAAGACAATGGTGAAGTGCCGTACAAGGCTCCATGGAGCCGGACTGGATCTGGCGCCTAACGACAGCCGCTACAGCGTCGCATGGTCGCATCGTGTTGGCTCATTGTCGCACGTGCTCTGAGATGAAAGAGGCAGCGGTGAAGTGCCGTACAAGGCTCCATGGAGCCGGACTGGATCTGGCGCCTAACGACAGCCGCTACAGCGTCGCATGGTCGCATCGTGTTGGCTCATTGTCGCACGTGCTCTGAGATGAAAGAGGCAGCGAATCTGGCATTTGCCTGTGAAACAATGCTAGACTATGCAACGGCACGTGAATTTTCCTCCGCTACGATGAATTGGTCGTAAGGATGAGCATGTGACGCAACGCAACGCAATGCAAGGAACGGTAGGATCGATGGGATGGGATGGGATAGGATGGGAGCAAGCGAACGAGGCGGCGTTACAATCTGGACTCCGAGGAAAGGCGTGACACGCGGGAAATGGTCGAAGCGAAGACGGTTTCGAAAGCTAGGAGCTCACCATGACGACAAAACCGGTGGTTGTGGAGTTGAGTTCTGTAGGATGCTGGCTTTCTTGCAGTGACTAATGCGACGAGATCAAGCAGGGACGGGCTTGACCAAGCAGGAGCAGTGCTGCTTGAGCTGGAGGAAACATCCACTAGAGAAATGAAACAGCCCCCTTTTGCCACTTCTGGTCCGAACTGAAATACAGGCTAGTACATCTACCCAAAAGAACGGCAATCGCCACCAGATCGTACTGTACTGCGTGCGTAGACGGACGGGACGGGACGGGACACGGACTACTGGACGACACAAATGCAGAACTGCACGACTCTGTACAGTTCAGATCAGAATTTGTAAGCACTGCCTCTGTACCAGGTACCCGGTGGAGAAAATGGGGACTTCGGAAAGTGGAAGCAGAAATGGTCGCAAATACCGTTGTAGGGTGCCTGTTTGACGCACTAGTACAGTAGCATGCCTTCGTGTGTTTCACCGTTTTGGACCGTACCAACAGAGAAAACTGTCCTCCGACACATTCGTTTTGTCCAGTGCTATTGGCCAACTGGGAACAGCGTGGGGAAGAGAAACTGTCGAAAATGTTACCTGTAGTTTCCGAAATAGGGAAGTCCGTCTGTGGGGTTCGATGCCAGCTTGCGTCATGAGAAGCTTCTTGGAGGCTTACGCTCATAAATGACGATTTCCCTACCACATCAGCAAACATTTTTGCGTACCGAACAGTATTTTGGATTGCCCGCTTTGACCCAGTCTTCATGGGCCGGGAGAACTACGCCGTGAACATTAGTTTGGATAGCGTACCTTCAAGGTGCACACTTCTTAATGCCAAGGCTAGAGTTGTGTACATGCCACAAGCTGGGTCTTAATTGCAAAAGGCACTATGAAAGGAAAAAAAAACACAGAAAATAACGAACGGAATGTAAACAGGGAAGCAGAAAGGTGGCAATACACTCATTTCTCTTGAAGCCATTTGTTAAGCCTCTCTTGACATTCACCCTGCACCTCTTTGAACTCCTCCAAAAACCCTTCCTCCACTTCTCCAGCTTTCCCCTTTGAAGCCGTCGGCAGGACCAAAACTACGCTAGTGGGCCGCTTTGTGATGGCTGCATTACCCAAGTCCTGAGACACAGAAAACACAGAGGAAGGTGTATTAGAGAGGCAAAAATCCATCAAGTACGAGTGAACATGGCAAAGGAGGTGCGGAGGGAGAATAGGATGGGACAAAGTACCTTAGCTAAACAGCCTCATATGATAACAGGCTTAAATATAACCAGTTGGACGGAACAGAGAACGGAATTGATGGAAAAAGAACTTCCGCAGGGGAGTTGGGTCGCATAAACAGTGGTAACAAGAGATCATAAGAACAAAGGAGACATGAATACGTGAAACACTGCAACTAGCAGGAGTGGAGGTAAGAGGGTTACACTGTTACACATACCGCACGGCTGGGCACGTATGTGTAGGGAATGTTGGCCTCCTCACACACCACAGGGAGATGCGAGATGACATCAATGGGCGACACGTCCCCTCCCAACACACACACCCTGCACAGAGCAATGCAGTCAGAGGGAAGAGAAAAATACGACTCTTGAGTTGACTCCTATGGACACGTCCCCTGCCAACACACACACTCTGCACAGAGCAAAGCAGTCAGATAGAAGGGAAAGCAATGGACTTTATTGTTGACTCTTAAGGCCACGTCTCCCAGTATACAAACACACACACGGCACAGAAAAACAGCAAACGTTGGAGCAAAATTTGAAGGCTAGAAATACATGCTACATGAAGGAACAAAAGGACCAAACATTAGTTAGAGAATGTGAAGGGCACAAATAAACAGAGGAGCAAATAATTGAATGGGAATGGGGAGGAGAGGGGGAGAGAGGAAGGGGGGGACTGGGGGGAGGGAAGCGAGCGGGGAGGGGGGGAAGAGGTTGAGAGCGATGGGGGCAATTGCAACAAGAGCGCCCAATTCCTGTGATTGCAAGTCGGCACGACCCCCACCCCACCCTCTAATTCATCCCTCACATTTCCTCCTTCCGTCCTTCTCCCCGTCCCGCCTCTTTCCCCCCGTTTCCTCCTCACCCAACTCCCCAGCCGGACTCACCCCTTCTCGCCCTTGCGCACGGCCTTAGCAACCTCCTTCACCCCTCGCCGCAGGTACCCCAATCCCTCCTCCACAAAACCCCCTTTTAACCCCCCACCCTCTCTTCCCTCCTCCCCCTCCTAGGACTCACCCTTTCTCGCCCTTGCGCACGGCTTTAGCGACCTCCTTCACCCCTCGCCGCAGGTATCCCTTGTGCTTCGCCGCTGCTCGCACCAAGCGACCACACGACCACACAAACAGAAGGTGGGGGAGGGGGGCGAGGGTGGGAGCGGGCGTGGGAGCAAGAAAGGGGTGGGGGCAAGAAGGGGATTGGGAGGGGGAGAGCGGTGGGGGAGAGTGAGTGGGAAGTTGGTGGACAGAGCTACATTCGAGAAACACTGGCACGCCACACGGAGAACGCGCTCCTGTTACGGGTCCTTTTCACGAAAGGTTACAAGCCGGTGTTTAAAGCGAGAAATACCGTCCCTTAAGACGAGAAGGGTGAAGAAGACAGGGCCTCCTTAAAGCTTTAAAGGAGCAGCATTCAAATCAGGGCACAATGCGATGGTTGCGACGGTTGTTTCCGGACTCAGGTAGCGGAAACATTAGCGGGTATCGAGGCATTGGATATCGAGGCATTGAATAGCGGCGACGCGTGGCTGGATACATCGCACTCGGCGACAGGGTGCACGTCGCCCACGCGCGCGCACGGCGGGGCGCACGGCGCACATCACACGGCGCGCATGGCACACGGCGCACGGGGCGCATGCGGTGCACATGGCACACGGCGCAACAAGGCGCGCACCTTTCTTAACGAGCTGCAGCACTTTCTGGTTGAAAGACGGGTCCGCCAGCGGCTTCGCGATGGCGCACACGTTGCGCCACTTGAGCGCCACCGCCGCCTGCGCCGCCGCCGCCGCCGCAACCACGGCATCCTTCTCCCCCTTCCCGCCCTTCTCGGCCCCCTCCTTCTCCTTCTTCTTCAATTTCTTCGGCGTCGCGCCGTCGCTCGCGGCGGCGTCGGTCTTTTTCTTCTTAGCTGATCGCTCGCCGCCGCTCGCCGTCGCTGCTTCCGTCGCCGTCGCGTCGATCTTTTTCCGCTTCGGCGTCTTCTCGACCTCCTCGCCCGCCGCGTCGCTCTTGCTCTTCTTCGGCGTCTTCTCGTCCTTCTTTGCCATTCTGAATCCGCTAAAAGTCTTTCTTACTAAAGTCTCTTCTGGTGAACGCCACTCCTGTTAGACAGAATGTAATCCTTATATTCTTCCCGTAAAAAAATAACCTGGAGTTCGCTAAACGCAGCGTGCGAGTGGAAGAGGTAACGCTGCTACGGATGTCGGCGACTAAAAGGAAGAGGTACTGCGGGGAAGTGACCTGCTGCAGGATTAGGGTTTTCCAAAAAAAGATGAGAATTTGCGACCTTCTCTGCTCCAAAAAGGAGGGGCTTTTTGGGTGACTGGAGAGAGAAACATATCTCCGCTACAATCTAGCCCGGTCGAAGCGAATATTGTACCTACATTGAAACCGGAATTCAAGTTGAGACTACGAGAGTCTAGCTTAGTGTCTTACATAATTGCATTAATTGGTAGTCTGTGCATTTGGGTCCTGGGAGCTATAAGTCACAGCAGATTTCTGCACAGCAAAACTGGAAACAGCCTCGTGTCCATGAAGCATGCAAGCTATGGTCTGAGATGTCTCCTGCAAGCAGCCAATCCAATCCCATCCAATTTAATCCCATCAAACTCTGCCAACCCCCTCCTATTTTCTCCTTGCCAGTGGTCGCTTCGCCCTCACAATTCTCCTCCCGGCAATATTTGAACCTGCCGGTGTTTTCTCCCCTGCATCCCCCCCAGCACCCAGTGAAAACCCTCCAGGCGTCCCCACAAACCCCCCACCATTCCCAACCGCACCAAACCCCCCAAACGGCGAAGCAGGAGCCGTTGCACCACTGTTGCTGCCATTACCATTCTCACCAGAACCATCAGCATCAGCTGTATTACCAGCTGCTGCAGGGGGAGGGGTGAAGCCCCCAAATAGAGGAGCACCAGGAGCTGTTGCTCCTGCTGCTGTTGCTGGTGCTGCAGCGGAGGCACCAAAATTAAAAGTCGGAACACCGTTAACTGCTGACCCTCCAAATGTAAACACGCCCTTGCTGGCGCCATCAGCACTAGGAGCAGGTGAGCCAGCAGCGGCAGCAGCAGCAGGCGAGGCGGCAGCAAATGAGAACACGGGGGTTGCAGTTGGGGAAGCAGAGGAACCTGCCGGCTTGCCAAAGGAGAATTGCGGGGTGGACGGGGCAGCAGCACCAAACGAGAAGAGCGGAGCAGCGGCAGGGGACGAACCGGCAGTAGCAGGGGGCGAGGCAGCAGCAGCAGCAGCAGCAGCAGATGAGCCGGCCGCAGGGGATGACGCAGCAGCAGGGGATGAGGCAGCAGCAGCGTAAGGGCTTTTAGAGGCGAAGGAGAAAACCGGAGCAGAGGAGGCTGTTGGGGGAACGGAAGCGGTGGAGAGGTTTGAAGGGGAGAATTGAGTGGTTGAGGCCGGTGTGGAAGAGGGTGTGGGTGCAGGAGAGGAGGGAGAAGGGGAGGAGGGGGAGGGGGAGGAGGCGGAGGAGGGGGCAGCACCAAAGGAGAATATAGGAGAGGAAGATGCTGCTGCTGCTGCTGCTTTTGAGGCCCCCGATGCTGTCGCTAATGTTGTGCCAAAGAACAATGAAGGGGGCGAGGTGGCTGGGGATGAGCTAGAGGCCGGTGCAGATGAGGATGCAGCAGCAGCAGCGGAGGGAGAGGACGAACCAAACGAGAACACGGGAGCAGTGGCAGTGCCTCCTGCTGCTTTCCCTGCTGCTCCTCCTGCTCCTGTTGCTGCAGCCCCTGCTGCTGCTCCTGGTGATGAGCCGAACTTAAACGGAGAAGACGAGAACGGGGATGGTGCTGATACTGCAGCTGGAGCAGAGGAGAGGGACGACGGAGCAAAAGCGGAGGAGGAAGCGGATGTAGATCCCGGCTTGTCCAGCGTCTCAGCTGGTGTGGTGGATGGCCGCTTCACAAACGGGTTAGGGAACGAACCACCATCACCATCAGCAACAGCAAAAGGGCTACCAGCAGCTTTCCATTCAGAGGCACCACCACCAGCACCACCTCGCTTCTTTGGCCTGTCAGACTGCAGTCGTTCACTTCCCTCATCGTCTTCCCCATCCCCTCCGCCTGCTCCTGCCTCTGCAGCAACCCCTTTCCCCTCCGCACCTCCCCCACTGCTCCTCCCTCCAAAAGCAAACGGTGACGCTGCAAACAAAGAAGCTGCAGTGCCACCACCACCACCACCACCAGCGGCAGCAGCAGCAGCACTTGCAATAGCAGGACTGGCCGATCCGAAAACTGGAGCAGAAGGAGTGGCGCCAAAGGCGAATCCACTCTTAGGTGGTTCAGTGGCAGGAGGGGCAGAAGCACCAAACGCGAAGCCACTCTTGGCTGGCGCGGTGGCAGGCGTGGCAGAAGCACCAAAGGCAAACACCGGAGCAGCACTTGCAGCTTTCGTCCCCCCCGAACCTGATACCCCCGTCCCTGTTCCCGTGCCTGCTCCCGACCCTGTTCCCGTGCCTGTGCCTGTTGCGGCACCAACAGAGCCTTTCCCGCCGCCAAAGCTAGGGACCACAGACGAGGAGAAAGGGGAGGACGTTGCAAACAGGGCCTTGGGGACTTGTGCCTTCTCACCAGCAGCAAAAGCGCCAGCAGCAGCGGCAGTAGTGGCATTACTACCGGCAGTGGCAGCGGGGGATCCAAATGAGAAAGCGACGGGAGTGAGTGGGGAGGGCGGGGAGGAGGGGGCTTGAAACGCTGTGGCAGCAGCACTAGCGCCGGCAGCGGCAATTGCAGCAACAGCAGCAGCAGGAGCAGCATCAGCAGCACCAGCAGTAGCAGAAACTGCAGCAGCAGGAGAGTGTGGCTTCATGGCGTGCGATTGTGATGACAACGCCTTGCTGTGTGGTGGGAAAGAGGGGAACGGCAGGAGGAGTGAATTTGGGTGGGAGAGTCATGAAAGCAACAAACGGATTAAATCTGCTGAACTGGAACAACCCAAATACTGGATTGGGAAGACGTAAAGAAAACGGGAACTGGGAACATTAGTACCAGGAGTACCAACCTGAAGGACAGTGCTGACGAGCGAAATCCAAACTTTGGAACATCTGCTGATGCTGCTGTTGCTGCTTCTGCTGCTGCTGTCTTTCCAACCACTTGAGTGAAATCCAGACCTGCTGCCGAGCCTGGCCTGCTGCCAAAGCTGAACTTGGGCTCGGCGGTCCCCGCACTCTTCTTCTCTCCCGAAGCATCTTTAGGTGGAGAGGCCTGGGACTTGGAAAAGCTGCCCGAACCAAACAGCTTCGGGGTTGCCAGACCTGCAGACGGGAATGCCGAGCCTGCTGCAGCTGCCCCAGTGCCATGGAACGAGAAACCCCCAGTGAACCCTGTACCCGCATCCGCACCCGCTCCTGCTGACGTGGAACCAGGGGATCCACGTGGCTGAATAACAATGGTCGGCTGGTCAGATGACGTGGCACCTGCACCTGCCCCTGCACCTGCCCCTGCTGCTACACCTAAACCTGAACCTGCACCTGAACCTGCTAACTTCCCCTCTGTTTGCTTCTCTCGCAACGTTACCTGCTCTCCCTCTGCCCCTGCCGTCCTGCTCCCTCCCGCCCCCTCACCTACCCCAGTGCTTGCACCTGCACCTGCTGTACCTGCACCTGCTGCAGTACCCGCAGCTGTACCTGCACCCACGCCCCAGACCGAACCTGCTCCCATACCTGTGGCCGAACCCATATTTGCCCCCGAGCCTGTGCCCGCACCTGCAGCCCAAGAAAATCCAGGCTTAGAAGCCGCAGCAGGAGCATGAGCAGCAACTGCAGCGTCAGCACTATTGGCAGCAGCACCTGTACCAAAGGCAGCAGCCGCAGGGGCAGCAGCAGGTGCACCAGAACCAGCAAAATAATCAGTAATAGCAGGTGCTGGAACAAAGCCGTTCTCTGTGTCCCCTCCTGCTCTGTACCCTCCCTTTTCCCTGCGATCCTCTGCAACCACCTCGTTCCCCTTCCCTTTCTGCCCCACCCACTCCAACCCACCAGTAGCACCAAAACCTGCAGCACTCACACCAGCAGCAGCTTCACCATCAGCAGCAGCAGGCATACCTGCAACACTCACACCGGCACCTGAGAAACCACCTGAGAAACCACCTGGAGCAGGGTGCGCGGGCGGGAGGTCACCAGCAGCCTTTCTGCTCATGTACGTGGGGAGGAACGTCAGGGGAGGCGCCACTATGTCGTCCCCCTCCCCCCGCCTGCCCCCCCGCCCCGAGCCCGAACCTGCACCCAGACCTGCACCCAAACCTGAACCCGAACCTGCCCCGAACCGATCGCCAACCCTAGATCTTGGGCCCAGCAATCTCTTCCAGCCATCCACGCCCCTGTCGCTAAGCCCACCCTCAGCCCCACCAAACCCGCCAAACCCAATTCTATCCCCGCTTACCCCACCAAACCCGCCCAAACCCCTATCTCCACCAGCACCACTGCCAACCCCGTCTCCCCCGCCGCTTCCCCCCATGCCTCCGCGCCCCTCACCCCGCCCTGCACCCATCCCCCCCTGCGCCCCCGCGCCTGTGATATCCTCTAGCTTGGCGAGAATCTTCTGAGCTGTCTCTAGTGACTTGCCAGGGGCTAGGCTCATTCCAGACAGCACATTTTGCCCCGCCCGCTGCTGCCCCTCTCGCCCCTGCAGCCCCTGCTGCTCTTGCTCCAGTTGCTGCTGGCGCCTGTCTTGTCCGAACCGTCTATTCCCCTCTCTCCCTGACCCCTTTCGCCCGAACAGCCCAAACGTATCCCTCTCTGGGAACAGCCCTCCACCGTCTCCCACCCCTTCAAACGCCTTATCCCACGCGCCCTTCCGTGCACCCAGAGAAAACCCGGGCAGCTCCCCGGGCAGCATGCGCGGCCCGCCGCTGCTGCTGCGAGAGGCAAACGCGTGCAAACGGGCAGCCTGCCCGCGGAGCCGGGCAGAGGGAAGAAAACTTCCAGCCCCAGCAGAAAAGAGCGCAGGGGGGGGGAGGGGAGGGGCAGCTAAAACACCCAAACGGAAATCTGAAGGTCTTGAGATAGGACCTGGGAAAGAGGTAGGGCCGGGAGGGAAGGAGACTATGGCGAGGCGGTTGGGCTGGTGGGAGGCACGCGGGCGAGTGCGTCGTGCTGACTCGGTTCCCCTCAGCCAATCAACATCTGCCTCGTCATCGTCGCGAGCTCGCTTGGCGGACTGACAAGCAGAGGAGGGGATAAAGAGATGGAAAGGGGAGAGGGGGTGGCGTGAAGAAGCGGAATTGGAAATAAATTCTAGCAGACAGAAGGAAACGGATGGGAATGCACCAGCAAATGCTAAATGTCGTCTCTGTATCTGCAGCAGCATCCATTCAACTCATCCATCCACTACCCACCTTAGGAGTAGCAGGCACTGAAGCAGCATAGCGGCCGCGAGAAGCAGCAGCGCCTGGGAACACAGCTCGTACCAGCTCCCCGTTACCATCCTCCCTCTCCTCCCCCCTCTCCCTTCCCCACCCACCCTCCTCTTTCTGCTCCCCCTCCTCCCCCCTCTGCTCCTCCTCCTCCTCCTGCCGCTGCCCCTGCTGCCCCCACGCGTCCCCCAGAACAGAATCCGAGGGCCGTCGAGAGCCCACCACCACCATCTCACCCCACCCGCTCGCCCTCCCGTCTCCACCCTCGCGCCCAGGAGAGGGATCATTGTCATCGTCATCATCATCATTAGCAGCAGCAACAGCAGCAGTGGGGGTACCGCCACCAGCACCGCTACCAGCAGCGGCGCCGGCAGCAATAGCAGCGGCGGCGGCGGTGGAAGCAGCGCGGAGGTCACCTCTCATGTACGCTTTGGCGATATCCACTGGCGACGCCCCGCCCTTGGGAAGGTGGCGGAGAAAAGGGGGAGGGGGAGGAGGAAGGGGGGGGGGGGGGGGGGGGGCGAAGGGGGAGGGAGGGGCGGAAAGCGTGGGAAGGAAGGGGAGGCGTGGTAAGGAAGGGGAGGCGTGGTAAGGAAGGGGAGGCGTGGGAAGGAAGGGGAGGCGTGGGAAGGAAGGGGAGGCGTGGGAAGGAAGGGGAGGCGTGGGAAGGAAGGGGAGGCGTGGTAAGGAAGGGGAGGCGTGGTAAGGAAGGGGAGGCGTGGTAAGGAAGGGGAGGCGTGGTAAGGAAGGGGAGGCGTGGGAAGGAAGGGGGCGGACACAAGGGGGCGGGGAAGGGGGAAAAGGGGAGGGGTTGTGTGAGGAGGGACGGGGGGGAAACAGAAGGTGCAGTGCGGAGGCGAGCAGGTGGGATGAGAAGGGCGCGGCTACGGAAGGGCGAGAAGATGGGAGGAAACGGGAAGATAATTACATCAAGGAAAAAAAAACAAGTGATACAACCTCACACAGCTCGACCTCTTTTCCTGCTCGCACCTCCCCCCTGTCTCCCTTTTTCCTTTCCCCGCTGTCCGCTTCCTTTCCCCTACCTTTCCCCTTCCTTCCCCCTTACCCTTCTCCTTTCATTCTCCCTCCGCCTTCTTCCTTCATCCTTTCCCTTCCAACCCCCTCTGCCGCCAACGCTTACATCGGGCGTGTGAAACTCCTCGTCCTCGTCCCCGTCAGCAGCACCACCATCCACGTCAGCAGGCGACGCCCAACCATTGGTCACCGGCGTGGCGAATCTAGATCCCGGATCTCCGCCAGTCAACCCCTTTCCAGCAGACCCCCTACCAGCAAATCCCCTTCCCGACGGCACCGTCCTATCAGCGCCTTTGGAAGGAGCGGCGAAGGTGCGTGCGGCGTCAAAGAACGGCGTGGCAGACGCTGCTGCTGCTGCTGCTGTTGCCGTGCCAGGGGAATGAAACGGCGTGGATTTCAAGCCGCTGGAAGTGGGGTTTGAGCCGCCCGAAGCGGGTTTAAAACCGCCAGGAGTGTGGAACGGCGTTGCTGCAACAGCAGGCGTGTGGAAGGGCGTTGGTGCGACAGAAGGAGTTTGGAACGGTGTGGAGGTGGTAAAAGGGGCGTCAGTGCGTTGTGCGGCGGTGGAGGGAGGGGCGTCAGCATCGTCGACCACCTGAGCGCGCAGCATTTGCGACAGTCGCACGTACTCTCGCCTGCATGCGACACACACGCGCACACACGCACACACACACACGCATGCACGACACACACACACGCATGCGCACGCGCACCCACACGTGCAGACGCGCACACACACATGCGCAATCACATTCACAAACAATCCCGACGACAAACGCGCCATCCTCGCGCACACACGCACAGAAGCACAAACATAACCCGAACCCGGAAATGGACTGACGTTGATTGCACTCAGCGCGTCGACATAAAAGTCACCCAGCGGATTTTCAGAAAAACAAAACCTTTCGACACGAGGGGATAGCCAGCATCAGCCGCCACGCCATCAGGGTGTTCAAAAAATCACCCTCGAAAAAACAGTGTACTCACATGGATAGGGACTTTCCACCCAAAGGCGGATCGCCAGCACCAGCCGCCACACCGTCAGCTAGGCTGAGGTCTGCCCGGCCGTCCTCCCCTCCACGCGCAGGCTCCTCTTGCCGTTGCGATCCTGGCGGAAGTACCGAGAACGGACGGGGGAAGACGGCAGAGAGAGATAGGGAAAGAGAGCAACACAGAGCGGGAGAGAGAGGACGGGGGGATTAGGCGCGTTTGCTGGCACACGTGAGAAACGCAATGGTAGAAGAAAGAGATTGGTTCTGCAACTTGTTGCTAGGGTTTGGTTGACCTCTGTCTAGGGCATCGCAGCCCTTTCGACGGTCCAACTTAGCAAAAACGAATATATCAAATTAGGGTTTCGGAAAGCAGGAATACGTAAAGAGTTACGTTACCTGACGAAAGACAGTATAATAAGGGTTCGAACAGGAACGTTTTGTGTCTTCTCAGCGGTAGAATGCGCGGGCTGGTTCAATGGACGTCGATTCCGCAATGAACGTCTGAAATGGTCGTACCTGCGTTACCGCGGGCAGCGTCGCTCGCCTGATCGCCGCTCCGTCGCCAGCCAATCATATTCAGCACCGCGCCACCAATTCCTCCGAGCCAACCCTTTTTTTGCGAGCCTCCGTCTTTGCCTCCCGCTGGAGCAGCAGCACCAGCGGAGGCAGTAGCAGCGGCTGTAGCAGCAGCGGCGGCCAGTTGGCCGGCAGCGGCGTGTCTTCCCGTCGCCGGCCGGCTGTACGGCATGTCCGCTCGCACTCCATATCGCCTGGATCTACCGAGTTTTCCGCCTGTTCCCCCTAGTCCTCCCGTTCCCTCTGCTCCGTAAGGTGTTGACGCTCGATCAAAGAGATGCCCTGAGGCGACAAAATCTTTCGCACGGAACGTCGCATCGTTTGTGAAGCTGGTCGGAAATGCGAATTCTGTGGCGTGCGACGAAGCCATAGCTCAGCACACACGACCGTTTGATTTACGACACGAACACGCCCGTCGGCTAACAAGTTAAGAACGACCGACTAACACGTTTAGGGCATCTGTCAACTAGAGACCAAGAAATACCTCCTCATCTGCTTATCCCACTCATCAGCACCCTATCGCGAGCTCCACCCTAACAGATCGAGCCATGTGAGCGGGTGGACCAAAGCAAAAGAAGAGGTGAAAAAGAGGTGGAGCCCGAGAGATCGGGACGGGAAAATGAAAGCAACAGAAGAAACGCATCGATCAAATCGGGAGTCGAGACTCGGGACTCGAGGGGGGGAAGAAACGCGCAGAAATGGATTGGTCCGCTCAGCTCCGTTCCGCTCCGCTCTGCTTCGCTTCCCTGAGCCTGCGCGGACTGACAGAACGGGCGCGCGGGATAACCCTGAAAATGCCGAGCCTGAACTTTTTTGCGTCCCTAAGGTTCCGCCTGACCTCGAGGTTTCGCCACGTCGCTGCGCCAATACTCTGTGCATGAATCGAACTCCTGCACTTATTTGAAATGTTCCAAACCAAACCATTTACACAATCAAAACAGAACAAACACTCGTTTGCAGTATGCACAACAGCACAGCTTTGTACCACCCGCAAATTCATATATAACATCAACCTTTGGATTGTTGCACCCGTTATAATAGAGTTGAGGTAATGGCCTCAACTTATCACATATAGAAAGTTACGGTATACTTACCAGTGTTTCATATCCGCCTCAGCATTCAAACTCATGACATAGGATCATATGCATGTGACATCCACGGGTGTAGAAGAGCTTCATCAGCTGTTGGTCTCTTGTCAGGGTCCACCTGTAGCAGGAACGCCACAAACTCAAGGAACCCCTCATCTCCCATGGGCAGCCGGTGCTTGAGAGACGTCCTCTTGGGAATCAGATACTCCAATGCATCCGTCTCCTGTGGTGGCGGGAAGGGCAGGGGAGATGGGGTGGATGAAGAAGCATGCTTTCATCCGCATGCCCCATCAACAGTTGGGCGTTAGAAAGGTCTTTCTGGGAACGCAACACTCCAACACATCCATGTACTGTGGTGGCAGGACAGGGAACATAGAGGGGGGGTGCAAGGGTGGGGGGGTGTGTGCGGAGGGGAAAGGTATAAGCTTCCAAGCCCTGAGAGACGCCTATGAGCCATGGGCAGTAGTGCATGAGAGATACCTTCTTGGGAGTTGGAGATTTTTCAGAAGCCAGTGGTCCTGTCTTGTGAGTCTGTGACGCCCAGAGGGGGTTCATGTGCCCAGCCGCCCACCACGCACACACCCAGTACAAACAAACCCCGTAGTACTCAACTCACCACCCTGATTCATTATCAGTTCACCGGGTTGCGCTCATAGAGCACGCGGTGCCGTGTGAAGTACGTGTGCACATCCTTGGCCCTGTGCAGGAGAGCATGAACCACGAGTGCCCACCAACCGCGAGCCTGGTACGGACAACTCCCATGAATATCAACTTACTGGGTTGCACTCATACTGCACACGGTGCCGTGTGAAGTACTTGTGGGCGTCCCTGGCCCTGCGCAAGAGAGCGGGGACCAGCCATTGGCCCTACAGAAGCCCCACCACACACACGCACACCTGGTGCAGACTTACCCCCCCACTGGCAGCTCACCGGGTTCCTCTCATACAGCACGCGGTGCCGTGTGAAGTACTTGTGGGAATCTTTGGCCCTGCGCAGCAGAGCCGGGTCGATGGGCCCTATGATGCCCACCACGCGCGCCAGCAACGTTGCCAGGGAGTCGTTTTGAAAGAGCACCTGGTGTATGGGAAGGGGTGAGGGTGCAGCCGAGTGGGTACACGTGTGCAAAGTGCGCTGTCAAGGCTGCACAGCAGAGAGGGGTCGACGGGCCCTATGATGCCCACCACGCGCGCCAGCAGCGTCGCCAGTGAGTCGTTCTGGAAGAGCACCTGGCGTGGTGGGGTGGGGTGGGTGCAAGTGGAGGAGCATAGGTATATGTGTGCATGACCATGGCATCACACACAAGCACAAGTGGCCCCACGAAATGCAGCTGCTGCGCCCCCCCCCTCCCCATCTTCCCATTCTTGCCCTTTCTCATCTTCCCGTACCCTTCTCCCTTCTCCCTACTCTCATCTCCCTTCTCCCTACTCTCATCTCCCTTCTCCCTACTCTCATCTCCCTTCTCCCTACTCTCATCTCCCTTCTCCCTACTCTCATCTCCCTTCTCCCTACTCTCATCTCCCTTCTCCCTACTCTCATCTCCCTTCTCCCTACTCTCATCTCCCTTCTCCCTACTCTCATCTCCCTTCTCCCTACTCTCATCTCCCTTCTCCCTACTCTCATCTCCCTTCTCCCTACTCTCATCTCCCTTCTCCCTACTCTCATCTCCCTTCTCCCTACTCTCATCTCCCTTCTCCCTACTCTCATCTCCCTTCTCCCTACTCTCATCTCCCTTCTCCCTACTCTCATCTCCCTTCTCCCTACTCTCATCTCCCTTCTCCCTACTCTCATCTCCCTTCTCCCTACTCTCATCTCCCTTCTCCCTACTCTCATCTCCCTTCTCCCTACTCTCATCTCCCTTCTCCCTACTCTCATCTCCCTTCTCCCTACTCTCATCTCCCTTCTCCCTACTCTCATCTCCCTTCTCCCTACTCTCATCTCCCTTCTCCCTACTCTCATCTCCCTTCTCCCTACTCTCATCTCCCTTCTCCCTACTCTCATCTCCCTTCTCCCTACTCTCATCTCCCTTCTCCCTACTCTCATCTCCCTTCTCCCTACTCTCATCTCCCTTCTCCCTACTCTCATCTCCCTTCTCCCTACTCTCATCTCCCTTCTCCCTACTCTCATCTCCCTTCTCCCTACTCTCATCTCCCTTCTCCCTACTCTCATCTCCCTTCTCCCTACTCTCATCTCCCTTCTCCCTACTCTCATCTCCCTTCTCCCTACTCTCATCTCCCTTCTCCCTACTCTCATCTCCCTTCTCCCTACTCTCATCTCCCTTCTCCCTACTCTCATCTCCCTTCTCCCTACTCTCATCTCCCTTCTCCCTACTCTCATCTCCCTTCTCCCTACTCTCATCTCCCTTCTCCCTACTCTCATCTCCCTTCTCCCTACTCTCATCTCCCTTCTCCCTACTCTCATCTCCCTTCTCCCTACTCTCATCTCCCTTCTCCCTACTCTCATCTCCCTTCTCCCTACTCTCATCTCCCTTCTCCCTACTCTCATCTCCCTTCTCCCTACTCTCATCTCCCTTCTCCCTACTCTCATCTCCCTTCTCCCTACTCTCATCTCCCTTCTCCCTACTCTCATCTCCCTTCTCCCTACTCTCATCTCCCTTCTCCCTACTCTCATCTCCCTTCTCCCTACTCTCATCTCCCTTCTCCCTACTCTCATCTCCCTTCTCCCTACTCTCATCTCCCTTCTCCCTACTCTCATCTCCCTTCTCCCTACTCTCATCTCCCTTCTCCCTACTCTCATCTCCCTTCTCCCTACTCTCATCTCCCTTCTCCCTACTCTCATCTCCCTTCTCCCTACTCTCATCTCCCTTCTCCCTACTCTCATCTCCCTTCTCCCTACTCTCATCTCCCTTCTCCCTACTCTCATCTCCCTTCTCCCTACTCTCGTCTCCCTTCTCCCTACTCTCATCTCCCTTCTCCCTACTCTAATCTCCCTTCTCCCTACTCTCATCTCCCTTCTCCCTACTCTCATCTCCCTTCTCCCTTCTCCCTCCCCCCCTCCCCCCCTTCCTTCCCATCCTCCCTTCCTGCTCTCACCACTCCCTCTCCCTCCCTCCCTCTCCCTCCCCTCCCCAACCCTCCTTTCTCCGCCCCTCTCACCTGTCCAGAGCAGAGCTCGGCAAGAATGCATCCCAGCGACCACACATCAATCTTGGGCCCGTAGGGAAGCCACAGGATGACCTCAGGCGCCTGGTACGAGCGTGACTACACGTACGCTTCCCAACCCTCCTCTCCCCTCCCTCTCATGGCCTCACCTGTCCAGAGCAGAGCTCAGCGAGAATGCACCCGAGCGACCACACGTCGATCTTGGGCCCGTAGGGAAGCCCCAGGATGACCTCTGGCGCGCGGTACGACCGAGACTGCACGTACGAGCACAGCGCATCCCACGTGAAGCAGCTGCTGCCGATGTCGATCACCTTAACGAGGCAGCGCGAGTAGCTCTTAATGAGGATGTTTTCCGGCTTGAGATCGCAGTGGATTAGCCCCAGCGAGTGCATGAAGCGTAGGGCTTTCAAGATCTGCTTGGCTATGGACTGAGGGAGAAGAGGGAGGGAGGGGAAGGTGGGGAGTGGGGAAGGACAGCAGGGAGGGGAGGGGAGGTAGCGCAAGTAGCTCTTATTTGAAGAAGTGTTTTGAGACGTCTCAAGGACAGCAGGGAGGGGAGGTAGCGCAAGTAGCTCTTAATGAGGGTGTTGTGTGGCTTGAGGTCGCAGCATATCAGACCCAGCCAGTTTATTTTGAGGCGCCTCAAAATGAGGGTGTTGTCTGGCTTGAGGTTGCAGCGTATCAGACCCAGCGAGTGCATGAAGCGTCGCGCCTTTAGGATCTGCTGCGCGATGGACTGGGAAGGGAGGGGGGCAGGGGGTGGGAAGGAGGGAGGGGAGGGGAAGGGGGGGGAAGGAGGGAGGGGAGGGGAAGGGGGGGGAAGGAGGGAGGGGAGGAGGTGTGGAAGATGGGGTTGATTGGATTGTAGGGGCTTCAGGGGCTGGAGAGAATGAGCCCAGCGAGTGCATGAAGCTGAGCTGCTCACCTGAATATGAGTCGACTCAAAAGCAGACCCAGCGAGTGCATGAAGCTGAGCTGCTCACCTGAATATGAGTCGACTCAAAAGCAGACCCAGTGAGTGCATGAAGCTGAGCTGCTCACCTGAATATGAGTCGACTCAAAAGCAGACCCAGCGAGTGCATGAAGCTGAGCTGCTCACCTGAATATGAGTCGACTCAAAAGCAGACCCAGCGAGTGCATGAAGCTGAGCTGCTCACCTGAATATGAGTCGACTCAAAAGCAGACCCAGCGAGTGCATGAAGCTGAGCTGCTCACCTGAATATGAGTCGACTCAAAAGCAGACCCAGCGAGTGCATGAAGCTGAGCTGCTCACCTGAATATGAGTCGACTCAAAAGCAGACCCAGCGAGTGCATGAAGCTGAGCTGCTCACCTGAATACGCGGCATGGTGAAGTAAACCTCGCCTCCCGACTCCCGGTTGTACTTGTGAAACTCGTACAGGTTGGGCAGACCCCTCTCATGAAGGCCGACAGTAACAGCTGCAGCTGCATCTCACCTGAATGCGCGGCATGGTGAAATAAACCTCTCCTCCTGACTCCCGATTGTACTTGTGAAACTCGTACAGGTTGGCTCGTAGCAGCTCACATATTATGAAGAGATGCTCCTGATGGGGGTGGTGAGGGGGGGGAAAGGGTAAGGAAAGGGGAGGGGAAGGAGGAGGAGAATGGGGATGAACAAGGGGAGTTGTGAGTGGAACTCGTACAGGTTGGCTCGTAGCAACTCGCAGATGATAAACAAATGCTCCTGGGAGGGAGCCGAGGATGAACAAGTGAGGAGAGGAAACAGCGGGGTGACGAGAGAGAGAGGTGTGGAACAAGAGAGTGAGAGGAAGGGAAGCTTGCTGCTCCTAAAGCAGCAACACCGCTGCCCACACAAGCATCTGCACCATCAACACCAGCAGTTACGCCTCTACCACCACATACAGCAGCACCATCATTATCGGTAGCAGCAGAACCACTCCCAGCAGCGCCATTATCAGCAGCCGCTGGTGCTGCTGGTGGTGGTTGTGGTGGTGGTGCTGCTGTCCCACTCCCGACCCACCACCCCGCTGTCCTTCCTGACGATACTCACTCACGCTCTCACACTCACACATGCTCCCAGTTACTCACCCGGTGGTAGAAGTAATCATACATCCGCAGCAGGCAGTGATGTCCGCCGGATCATGCCAGCAGCCTCCAGCCATCCCTCCCCCATCCCATGCACTTCCCCACTGCCCATTCTAGCGCACACACACCCACCCAATCACACAGCAATGTGCGCCCACCCACTCACCCGGTCGGTGGTAGAAGTAATCATACATCCGCAGCAGGCAGTGATCGTCCGCGGGATCATGCTGAATGATAAACTTGAGCAGCTTTATCTCGTCCAAGCTCTGGTCGAAGAAATCCTTGTTGTTCTTTATGATCTTCAGACTCACTCACCCAACCAACCACTCGCTCACTCCCTTACTCGCTCCCTCCCTCCCACCATCTCTCCCTCCCTCCCTCCCCCAGCTCACCCGGTGGTAGAAGTAATCATACATCCGCAGCAGGCAGTGCTCGTCCACAGGGTCATGCATGTTAATAAACTTCAACAATTTGATCTCGTCCAGGCTCTGGTCGAAGAAGTCCTTGTTGTTCTTGATGATCTTCATGCACACGTCCATGCCCGTGTGCAGGTCGTGTGCTTGGATCGCCTTGCTGAACGCTGCTGCCCCCAGGTATTCCGTTACGTAGTATCGCCCCGCTATCACTGAGTTGAGGACCACTGGGAAGTCCTTGTCCTCCTCAAACCCCGTTCTGCGAAGCAGGGAGGCAAGGAGGTAGGGGAGGAAGCAGGGAGGCAAGGAGGTAGGGGAGGAAGCAGGGAGGCAAGGAGGTAGGGGAGGAAGCAGGGAGGCAAGGAGGCAGGGGAGGAAGCAGGGAGGCAAGGAGGTAGGGGAGGAAGCAGGGAGGCAAGGAGGTAGGGGAGGAAGCAGGGAAAGGGAATGATCTTCATGCACACGTCCATGCCCGTGTGCAGGTCGTGTGCTTGGATCGCCTTGCTGAACGCCGCTGCCCCCAGGTACTCTGTCACGTAGTATCGACCTGCTATCACTGAGTTGAGGACCACTGGGAAGTCCTTGTCCTCCTCAAACCCCGTTCTGGTGGGGACGTGGTGGGGAGACACACAAGGAGGGGACGGGGTCGTTAGGTCTCTATGCGACATGGTGTTTATCGGGAATGCGTCTTGTTTTGAACAGATGCAGAAGTGACGTTTGAGTCGACGCAAAGAGCTTCTCACCTGTTCTTTCTATGGATGACTCTCAAACTGAACGTCTCAAACTCCTCCTCTTTCGCCTTCCCTTCCTCCTTCCCCTTCCCCTCCTCTTTATCCATTACTGCTGCCTGCTCCCCACTCTTTGCCTTCTTCTCAGCACCCACTGCCCCATCCCCTCCTTCCTTTCCCACTGCCTTCCCGCTCCCTGCTCCTCCCGCACTAGCCTCATCCTGCTTCTTCTCTTCCTCTCCCGTTCCCACCTCTCCCCCCCCCATTCCCCCCAATCCCCCCACCTCCCCCACCTCCCCCAACTCCCCCACTTCAACAGATTCTACTGAAAGCCTCGACCGCCTATCCCCACCCACACTACTCCGTGCACTCCCCCCCTCACTCCCCGCCCCACTCCTCCCCTCCCCTCCTCCCCCACCCACACTCCCTTTTTCCGCAAAATCCCAGTTCCCCGAAGCTGTCTGGGCCAGCTTGGGGAACGTACCACTAGCATGTTTCTTCCAAACCTCTAAAGTGCTATCAGCCACGCTCCCCATTCTCTCTAACTCGTGCTCTAGCTCCTGTTCCCCCATGCCTGCTGCTCCGCTGCTGCCCAGAGACGGGGGAGTTAACCCCTCCCCCAGCCCCGACCACCCGGAGTTACCCCGCGAAAGCCCCTCGTTACTCGAGGGCGAGTGGAATGAAAAGCCCCCCCCTTCCCCATCGTGCCCAAACCCACCTCCCTCATCCCCTCCTCCCCTGTCTCTTCCCCCCCCAAACCCTCCAAAGTCCTCCCAAAACCCACCTCCCCCACCCTCCGCCCCTTGCTCGTCGTCCCTCTGGCCATCCTCCGCAACCTCCCCTGCCCCGCTCCCATTGCCCCTCGCCCCGTCTCCTACAATCACATTCTGTAACAGCACACCCCTGCCACCCTTCCTATCAGCACTCTTAGAGGCACCACAATCCACGCCACCAGCGCCACTGGTCCTCGTATCAATGAGATCCACAGCACTCCCTCCCTCCACCACCTCTGCCCCACCGTTCAACCTCTCCCCTCCACCCCCTCGCCCTTTCTCCCCCTCGTCAACACCCTCTGCCCCCCCTGCTGCAGCGCCTGCTGCCCCGCTCCCTGATTTTGCCCCCTCCCCTGCCCCACTACCCTTCTGCACCGCTTCAGAACTCATCTCCACCCCTTCCCCTGCAGTCCCACTGCTGCTCCACTTCTCTGCCTCACGGACCGACAAGTCCTTATCCAAAGCACTCCCCTCTCCCCCACTCTTACCCTCCGATCCCTTGCTGCTGCTGCCCCCCTTCTCATCCGTCAATGCACCCGCGCCTTCACCCTTACCCACTGATACCTTGCTGCTGCTCGCCTTCTCGTCATCAGCTTCCGATTCCAACTCATACAATAGGAACCTCTCCTCATCTTCCACTAATCTCCTCACATACCCCACGTCCTCCTCATCTTCATACGCGTCAGAGTCAGACCCACTAACCTCTAACAGCAGCATCTCGCTATAATCCACCTCCTGCCCGCGCTCCCCCGCGTCTGACTCAGCAGCTGCTGACGTGGACCTGGTTACCACCGACGCTGACCCGTCCGCCGTCCCCGAACGAGACAGCACAGGCCCGGACCCTCCGCTTCCTCCCAACCCTCCCCTGGGCGAATTTCGAGTCAGCTCAAGAGGAGAGCTGCGAGTAAGCTCATGAGGCAAGCCTCCCAGCACATTCCCTGACCCTCCCTCTCCTGCTAACGCACTGGCACCATGCGGGCGCCTAATACCGAATTCCTCTGAGACCACCTGTGAGCCAACGACCACGGGGCCGATTGTGATTGTAGGGAGGGGCGAGGAGGGCGCGGAGGACCCCACGGGGCTGCGCTCCCCTGATGCCTGCCGCTGGTGCTGCCCCGCCCCCTGCTGCCCCCGTCCCTGATGCCCCTGTTGCTGGGGGGGAGCGGCCACGTCTCTCCGCCCATCCGTTTCCGCCAGTCCGTGCACTTCCCCCACCTCTCGAACACCGGGCACCGCTGCAAATTCCAGGACCTCTGTACCCACTTCCACCTCTCCCAACCCACCCACACCTTCCAACTCGTTCCCCCCGCTCCCTCTGTCGTTCCCCGCGCTCCCTCTTGCGCTTCCCCCACTGTTCTTCGCGCTTCCTCCGCTGCCCCTTGCGCTTCCCCCTGCGCCCCAGTCACTCCCCCCGCCGTCTCGCTCCCCGCCTCCTCTGCTCTCCCGCAGGGAACCAATCCCAAAGTCCAGCGACGCGACCAGGTTCACCCCCTCGCGGCTCTCTGCACTGAGGCGAATCGGCTTTAAACGGGGAAAACCACTGTCTAACGCGGACGCAAGTGGGGCGGCGTCAGCAGGGGAAGGTGCTATATCCAATACCGGAGCAGCTTTAGTAGGGGATTCGGTTAAGCCGAGAATAGGGTCTGCAACTACGAGAGGAACGAAATTGCGGCTCTCTGCTTCCTGCCCTCCCGTCGCACCGCGATCCCGATCCGAAGGCGCTAATGACGCCGAAGCTGCTTCTGCCGAACCTGCCGCTGCCGAACCTGATGCTGCCGAACCTGATTTCGCCGAACCTGCTGCCGAACCTGAGCTATTCGGTTCGGCAAGAGCGGCGGCGTGCAGAGAGGCGTCTTCCTCGAGAACTACGTCCAGGGATCGGGGGGACGGGAGAGACGTGGGGGACGGCAGGGACGGGGATTTCGGGAAATACGTCGTGGAAAACGGATGCTCGTTCTTAGGAGGAGGTGCTCCCGAAGAAGAGAGAGAAGAAAGATTTTGCGGCGGCTGACGAGGAGAGCGGCCCGGCGGAGTGACGGAGGGGGATTGCGTGGGGGGAGTGCCGGACGGGGATTGGGAGAAGGGGGGAGTGGCGGAGGGGGATTGCGCCATGGGCGGAGAGTGCGCGGGCGACCACGGCAGGCCGGCGTGTTCCAGGAACTGCGACGGCGCCGTGTTGCTCCGCGCGATCGCATTGAATCCCGCGAATCCCGCAAACCCGCCGCCGCTTCCGCCGCTGTTCCCCCCGCCGGTCCCGCCGCCGCTGCTGGCGCCGCCACCTGCGCCGGAAAACCCGGAGCCGCCATTAAACATTTGGTCCTGCTTCATCCAGAGGAAGAGATTCACGTCCATGTCGGACGGGTCGGGCGGAGGGCGGGAGGAGGAGGAGGAGGCGCCGGCGGCGGCGGAGGAGGCGGGAGGAGATGACTGCTGAAACTTCTGAGAAGGAAACTTCTGCGAAGGACGTTTCTGCGACGCCTGCTTCTGCGACATTTCGAGTCGCAGCGCCTCCGCGGCCCTGTGGAGGTTGTTCCGCTCCAAGTACTCCACGATGGCTCCTAACGTGTCGCCCATGGCGGATGGCGAATCCCGCGCTGAGCGCGGCGATAAGAAATCTGTCGACGCGCGGATGTGCTACGCGCGGAGAAGCTACGCGCGGAGATATTACATGCGGAGATGCTATGCGCAGCACCCTATCCTTCTTCGCCTGACGGTCTCGACGACATTTCAAGTAGCAGTAATCAATCACGTCGACGGATGATCATGATAAAATATGGACTAACGTGGTGTCCGGTCACAGCAAACCTGGAATCGCGACAGCACACAGCAGATGGCCGGTCTATCAGTGGTGTCAGGTCCGGTGTCCCTGATCTCCACCTCTGCTTCGGTTCAGTGCTCACGAGGTAACCCTAAACTAGAGATTATCGATAGAATAATGTCGACGCCCCGCAAAGTTCTAGAGACATTGCTCTCAGCACACCACCATATCACCGTACCACACGTTATCTGCTAGCTATCTAGAGAAAATAGCAAATTACAGTAGTACCAGTAACATAGTCAAATTCAGCAAGCAGAAAGTTGCAGGTAGACGGTGACATCGCAACACCTGAGTTGGATGTTTCCAGAGTCCGTAGTTGAAGCGAGGTCCTCAACTACACTTTGTGTTTCAGTACGCTATAGTACGGTGGCAGTAGGTTGCTGTCCGAACAGATTGACGGATGATGATGCATTGAATGTACAGATCCACACTACTCTGACACCCCATACTGTCAAGCTGCACAAAGCCCAAGGCGTATCGCCGCCGCACAACTGACAATCCACCCTCACCAGATTGGTTGAACCGCGCAAAAGCCTGTAACGCGGAAAATTACAGTGTTATCAAGGGTTGATTGGCTTGTGCGCAAATTGGTATGACGGAATACCAGTATGCACACGTGTGTCTCTTCCAGAGGATACCCAATATCTCACAAGAATACTTCAAAAACCTTATGTACCTAATCCAATATATCAGAGCCAAAGAACGTCTATTACTGCTGAACAATGATCCATTATCCATATGCTTCAGTCCGCAACCAGTCCTCTAGAGGACTGGTCATTTCATTGTCCCAATTCTACAGATACTTCAAGACCTTTCACCATCATGTAGCTTGACTGAATCTACAATCAGCCTAGGCCGTGGATGCAGTTACCACTCCATGTGACACCCCCTTTCCAACCTTTGACTTGAGGCCCATTGCTTTCCCCGAAACGCCTTTATCCTTGCTTCCAACCGCACCATTGCACAACCCATGTCCACCATTCTTGTTGTGCCCAGACTTCTCAGAATGCTGCTGCTGCTGCGTCTGCTGCGCCTGTTGTGGCTGCTGCTGGTGCTGCAGGAGCTGCTGCTGGCGCTGCTGCGCCTGTTGTGGCTGCTGCTGGTGCTGCAGGAGCTGCTGCTGGCGCTGCTGCTGCTCCGCTGACACTGCCTGCTGCTGTGCGTTGCAGAGGTGGCGGCAGGAGAGGAAGAAGAGCAGCGAGTGATATCCCACCAGGGCCATCACTGCATACCCCTCCCACCACCGCGACCACACCAGCAGCAGCAGCACCTGCGACGCCTGGTGTGCACATGAGGATTGAGGGTAAAAACATCGGGTTTAGGGTATGTATGTTGGACAGCGACATTCGCACAAGTGTTTTGAGACGTCTCAAAACACTTCTTCATACACGTGGCTACATCGGGTTTAGGGTATGTATGTTGGACAGCGACGCTCGCACAAGTGTTTTGAGACGTCTCAGAACACTTCTCCATACACGTGGCTACATCGGGTTTAGGGTATGTATGTTGGACAGCGACATTCGCACAAGAGCAATAACATTGGTGCCGGGCTCGGGGCGGAAGAGACTGGGTGGAAGAGGTGGGAGAGGAAACGGCAATACAATCGGGCAACAGAACCCAGCACAAGGGCCCTGCATAGAGGGCATGTGACCGTCAATAGGTGGTGCACACGTCAAGGCCAGGACAGGGCGCGGGACAGAACGCCCTATGAGTACAAATGTCAAGTGAAGTGAAAAAAGAAGAAGAAAAAAGGATGAGCAGGGTGTCAACTCAGCCTGGCCCCTCACCGAGACGCAAATCTGTGTGCCGACTACCCAGTTGGAGAAGACAAGCGGTTGGTGGTGCAGCAGCTGCACACACGGGCGCCGGGTTGACCGTGGAGGTGAGGTGAGAGACAGGAGGAAAATTGAGAGGCGGGTGAGATGAGAGCACTACTGCATCAACACCGCACATTACCCAGCGATTACAGTCTCAACCATAAGATTTAGGACAATATGGAATGAGGGAGCGCTTTGAGTTGGCAGATTGAGTCTTAGCATCGAAAGAAACAGAACGGGAAAGGAGGGTGGGAGCGTTACAAAGAGGAGGGCGGCTGAGAGCGACCCAGGCTGGGCGGTGTTGAACCGGCCGAGCCCCACAAAGAGACGGCCCCCTCGCTGCACAATGGCACCCTCACTGTACGGCACACTGTGGGGGTTCCACTCCGCCACGTCCCTGGCGTTGTGGAAAGGTGCAAAGGCGACGAGGACGGGGGAGGAGGAACAGGAGGACTTGTGTGAGTGGCAGCCCTAAGCCCCCTCGCTGCACGATGGCGCCCTCGCTGTACGGCACACTGTGTGGGTTCCACTCCGCCACGTCCCTGCATGGCGATATTTGGGGGGAAGGAAACATCGAGGGTATGGAGACACTGTGGGCAAGGAGAGTGTAGCCCCCCACTTCACCCCTTCTCCCTCTCTGCACGATGGCTCCCTCACTGTACAGCACACTGTGGGGATTCCACTCCGCCACGTCCATGCATGGAAACAGTGAGGGCAAGGAGGGTCACGAGAGTGTGCATGCTGTGTGGGTTGAAGGGCGGGAGAGAATCCAGGAGCCTCTTTCACTCTCTCCTCTCTGCATGATGGCTCCGTCACTCTACGGCACACTGTGGGGATTCCACTCCGCCACGTCCCTGGTGTTGTGAGGTGGTGACGAGAAGAGAAGAGGAGCTAAGGATGGGAAATGACCAGGACTCGTGTGAGTGGCAGGCCCAAGTCCCTTCGCTGCATGATGTGTATAGCACCCTGACAGTGAGGCTGCTGTCCTCAAGCCATGCCAATGAGGCACTCAGCTCCTCACACACGCACCTGCTGATGGTGAAATTCGGCACGTCGACGCGGTGCCAGCACCCCAGGTGCGCCGCCACGTACTCCACCTGCTCCCGCCGCAGCACGGCCTCCTTCATCAGCAGCAGCATGGCCGCCCCTACAAACGCGTACCCCAGCAGCAGACAGCAGGAGAGACGGCTCACTAGTATGTCCTCGTGCATCTGTGGGGGGGGAGGAAGAAGGGGAGGAGGGGTGGTGGAGAAAGGGGAGGAGGAGGAAGCAGAAGAGACGGGTGAGGGAAGGAGATGCTTTGTATGGTGTAATGTTAGGTGGCAAAAGGCCAACAGTGTGAGTGCTTCTACAATATCGAATCTCAAACGCTCCTATCCCAAGCGCCCCTAACCCCAGAGCTCACATATGACCTTGGATGGGTACGACCCCCACGAGGTAGCTCCCCATGCACGCCTCCACGAGCACCAGGCGCATCAGCAGCTTGGGCTTGGGGCACACCCCAAGCACTTGGTTGCGCATGCACTTGGGTATCCGCGCACGAGCATGACTCACTTGAACATCCACATAGGTGCCTTGGGGATATATGCGCGGATGGAGACAGAGACTCACGTAGGTGCCTTGGATGGGGACGACCCCCACCAGGTAGCTGCCCATGCACGCCTCCACCAGCACCAGGCGCATCAGCAGCTTGGGCCAGCGCCGCAGCTTGCGGGTGAAGCGCGTGAAGTCGGACGGCGATGCAGACGCACCCCCAGAAGCACCACCGCCAATGCCACTGCTGCTACTCCTCATGCTTCCGCCCCTGCTGCCGCTGCTGCTGCTGGCGCTGGTGGTGGTGAGGCTAGTGGTGGTGCTGCTGCTGCTGGTGCTGGTGCTGACAATGCGAGTACTCGCATCGCTGCTGCTAGTGCTGGTACTGGTGCTGCCACCATTCATGGCACCTGTCTTGCTGCCGTCACTCCCTCCCTTCTCCCCTGCCTCCTCCCCAGGCGGCTCCCCATTGGAGATTTTCGTCTGTTGCGACGCCAAATGAACGCCCATTGCCTGGTTGTTGCTGGTTGGAACCGGATGCACGCCGCTTGCCTGCTGGCAGGGCGCTGCTGCTGCTGCTGCTGCATGCAGCGCCGCACCAGCCAGCGGGTTTTGCTGGGGGGCTGTGCAGTCGTGCAGGGATGGGGAGGAGTGGGGGTTGGAGGAGGGAGGAGCAGCGTGAGAGTGCGAGAGCGAGTTTAGACTTGGTGCATGGGAGGGGGGTTGAGGGAAGGAGGAGAGGGGAGGAGGAAGGGACGAGGTGGTTTGGCTCTGAGGGTGCAGTAGTGGTTGCTGTAGGGATTGTGATGAAAGCGAAGCTGTCACTGTGGAGGATGGAAGGACAGACAGGGGGGCTGTTGCTGCTGCTGCTACACCTGCTGCTGGCGGTGCTGCTGCTGCTGCTGCAGTGCTCTTATCGGATGTGACAGAAGCGGGGAGGAGAGTGGCAGGGCGCAGGGAAGGGAGCGAGGGAGGAGGGGAGGAGGAAGGGGCGTCGCGGTGAAGGGATCTAATCTGGTGGTTGAGCAGAGCAACGATGATGGCGTAACAGATGGGCCTGGTGCGGGCGAGGGGGGCATTGAGAGGGATTCAAGGGGATGGGAGGGGATGGGAGAGGATGGGAGGGGGGGGGATGGGAGGGGATGGGAATGGGAGAGGATGGGATAGGGAGAGGATGGGGGAGGATGGGGGAGGATGGGGGAGGATGGGGGAGGATGGGAGGAGATTGGAGAGGATTGGAGAGGGGGATTGGAGGGGATGGGAGGGAATTGGAAAATTTCAATAGGGCAGAGACTCTGGACTTGGCTTGCAAGGATAGTAGGGATTTCGAAGATATGGAGGCGGAAAATAAAGACGCTTCACAAAAGAGTGCAGCAGTGGTGAATGCAACTCGAACCAACCAAGGGCACACAAGGGCAAGGCAACAGATTGTGAGAAGGGGGACGCACGGGACGAAGAGCAGCAGCTGCGACTGCCAGGGGAGGGTAAGGGAGAGCTTGAGCGCGAGGAGCGCCACAGCTGCCACGTACAGCCCCACCTGTGATGCGCAACACAGAACGGGATGAGAGAGGAGCGAGAAGGGGCGATGAGAGAGGCGATGAGAGAGGAACGGGGAGGGGGCGATGAGAGAGGAGCAAGGACGGGGCGATGAAGGCGCAGGAGAAGGAGTTCAAAGCAGGAGATCGGTCACGCCGCGGATGCTTCTGCTGGGCATAGCGCTCCAGACAAGAGCGGAAACAACGGAAAGCAGAGAGCAAGGAGCTAGGAACCAGAAACTGCTGTTGAAAGCCTAGACTGACGAGCGAGCGATGACGTGAAAAAACCAGCGTGTAGTGTACCAGAAGCAGGGAGCTGCAGGTGCCAGTGACGGCACCAATGGGCGGGAAGACATGCTGCTCCCACTGCCCATGACCTGAGCCTCTCCCAACTTCACCAAGCCCCGAATTGAGCAGGGAGTTCCCCTTCCCTGCGGAGTCCTCTCCAAGCAACAGCTCATTGCCCCCCTCTGGCGAGTCGAACCCGCCGCCTGAACCAGCAACATCCACCGCACCACCTGCCCCTCCTGCACCAATGGTGCTTCCACCAAAACTATACGGGTGGTGACTGCCAGGCTTTAAAGCCCCATTTCCTGCCATCATGCCGCTACCAGTCAACGGAAACGGCTCCCTGGCAGTAGTAGTAGCGGCTGCAGCAGCAGCAGCAGCATCAGCACCAGCACTGTCTTTATCTCCCCCCCGCCTACCCTCCCCCCCCGTCTTGCCATCTTTGCCCTTCACCCTCCACTCCTTCATACCACTGCTGGCCATCTCTTTTACACTCCTAGCCGCGCTAGCAGCTACACCGTTCGCTACAGAGCCAGCACCGCTGACAGAGCCAGTACGCGCAAGGACGCTTTCGTTCCTCGTACTGCTCAGGAAAAATCGACTGAGGAAGCTGCTGCTAGGAATGCTGCCATTGACGGACTGAAAGGTGGCAGGTGGGGAGGGTTTATTGGCGACAGGTGGGTGGAAGTCGATGAAGCAGGCGACTATTCGGCGCAGGAGGAGCAGACAGACCAGAAGAACCTGCAAAGGGAGGGCGTGCGGGCGTGTGGGTGTGATGAGAAAGAGGCACAAGGGAAGTCGGAGTGGGTTGGACGGATACAAAGGAGCCAGAGGATAGTGGTGACGAGATTCGTTTGGATGGTACAGAGGCACGATCGGCACACACGTGTGCGTGCGGTACAGGGTACAGCACACGTGCAACACAGGTAACTTACCTACTGCGCACTGCTTAAGGTGTGCTAACGCGGACAGCTCGAACTCACGCGGTGTACGCACGACGTGGTAGTTAACACTGCGAGTCAGCCCAAACACGAATGCCTTGAACCAAGTCCTCTTAGAACGCGGAGGCACTCACGACGTGGTAGTTGATATCATGGAGTGCGGAGCGGTGGAGGCAGAGCAGTTGGATGGCGAGGAAGACGCACATGTGCACAAAGAACATCGCCTCCACCCGCACCTCCCGCACCCCACCATCCCCCATCTTCCCCGCCTTGCTGCATCCGCTGCTCCCACCTCCGCCACCGCTGGTACTGCCACTGCTGCTGCTGTTGCTTACCCCCCTAGTGCTGCTGGTCGACAACCCACCGTCCTCTCCGCCGCTGCTCTTACCAGCCGTGCTGCCTCGCTGGCCGGAATCCAAGTCCCCCTTCTCGCCACCTGCCTTCCTACTCGCCGCACTGACATTCACGCTGGAATCCCCTCTCTTGACCCCGTTAGAAGCAGTCCCAATAAGCGCAGAGGCCTCGCCCTGCGGCTGCTGCTGCTGGTGGGTCCGAGCTGGCCCGGCAGAATTAGGGTTGCTGGCGTAAGCGGACGCGTGATGGCCAGCATTGCTCTCAAGCCTATTCTTGGTCGGCTTGCGCCCTCCGCTTCCGCCTCTGGGGGTCGGAGAGGCGTCCCGGGGGAAGGCCGGCGGAATGGTTGCGCGGGTGGGCGACGAGGGTCCATTCGCGAGCGATCGGTTGGCGTGGCGCCTGTTTGAGCTCATGGCTAGAGCAGGGGGTTCACGCGAACAGAGAAGCAAAGGGTTTGAAAACCAAACCATTGGGGCTTGAAAGGAAAAGAGAAGGCGATTTATGAGTAGACTCGAAAGACGCCTGGTGGATCATGACTAGAACAGGGATTTCAAGCAAACCGTGATATTTGAAACGAGCAGGGGGGAAGAAAACAAAGAGTGAGATTCAGAAAACGCAGGAGAAAGAACAATGATTCGGAAACAAAGGACAAGAAGTCTAGAACGAAAAGTTACATCAATAAGAGTTGCCGTCGATTTCAAATCACCAGTGCAGGTAGGACAATTACGGCGGAAGAAAATAAGAACACGAAAAAACGCGCGCTGATACCAGAGCCGATAATGTACGGAGTTACAGCTACGGAGGGAAGACGAGAAACTAGGGTTTGATTCGCATCGAGAAATATGGCGGCAATCTGAGCAGTAATCACAACGGGGCAACGAAAATGACTTCGACGTTACAAACGGTTGAAACATGGACTTACCCGCGAAGGGATCCGAGAACGCGGCGAAGCACCATGGATCGTGAAGTTACGAATTACTACTAACCCGGCTACTGTAGCTTCACCATCAATGATCAGAAATCACGCTGATCCTTTCCTCGTGCGACTAGGATACCTTGGTTCACACGCAACTGACACAGAAAATCCCTAGGAACGTAAAAGCTGTATTCTAGCTGTGGATTTGCGATGGCTCCTAACTATTTTGGTCTAGAATCTAGATGATGATCTCGATGCAAACCTCATAGGGCCGTCAGGCTTGCCTCGGGAATGCTACACATCAGGTTTGGTGGCACAATCCCTGACGGTGTTGGTCGCTCTGACAGGTTCGGTATCTGATGTGTCGCTGGTTCGGCTTGATGAATCTTGTCCAATAAGGTGAGTGCATCTCCACTGTACGCTTGCCGCGATGTCAAGCAGCAACTCCAATTTAGAATAGACTGACATTACCGGAAACTGTATAATGTATAATATGATGTAACATGACAGGTCAAACGAAACAAATCAAACACGCATGAAAATAAGCCGCATCATTTTTTTGCTCTTGAGTGAAGCGGTTGAGTTATGTGTTCGTTCAGAATAACGTCACTGATAAAGTTCACTTACCAACTCTTGAATTTTGGTAAATAGTTTGTTTGTAGTTATAATACCGTAGGATTCGCAAATATTCACAAAAGCTATTTTCTAGATTCACAGCCTAGAACCGTTCTCTACTCCAGAACATTCACATCCCACATTCAGCTACTGTACATGCCGAGCTTCGAGGGCTCGATGTCAGACCACATCAAGCATCGAGGGTCGATGGTCAAGGAACAGATCAGACTGAAATCGGACGGCAAGGAATGGCAAAATCGCAGTTCTGGTCAGCATTCATGGAGGAAATGGATGGTGATTCGAGGGTGCCAGTTTCCACGTCAGGAGATTCCTTTGCGCATTCTTTGGCTCTAGTCAGAACTCAATCTCACTTCGCAGAGAGTTGCTGAATCGTTCGCCACGGTCCACGGAGGAGGTGGTATGAGCTTTCGCCAGTCTCACCTTTCGCCACTAGGGTTTTCTTCCAAAATGCAGCCAAACCATCCCATGACAACTAGGGCTTCACAACGGCTCTCTTCCACGGGTGGGGTTTGGTGGCCTCTCATTGGCCAGCACCTACAGTTCGAATTTGAGCGACACGGTGATAGATTTCGAACTGGCGGGATGACGGATCTACTTGATAGAATTACAAATCGACGGCCGAAAGGCTTTTCGTTCGTTCCCGCTTCCGTTAACGGACCGTTTCTGGGGAATATCTGGATTCTCTTTTTTGGTACAGCCGCTTGGCGGCGATTGCGACACGTGACAAAGTGTAGCAAACGGAGGGTTCCAAACCACCTGAACCGCACAATCATGCGACACGTCGGAACGTCTCCCTACGGTTGAGATTGAATCTAGTCCCAGCCTCCTCAGAGATTCTGATTTTGAAACCGTTAGATTTACTCTATGAGAAACCACCACCATCATTCCGAGGGGGTAATGAGCCTCAATCAGTGACCCCCTCACCTGATTCTTGCCCGTTCTCAGCCATTTTCGACTCGATTTCTCTCCAACATGGCTCATTCTGCTCGTTTCCTGCTACCTGAGAGCATTCTCCTCCGTCTTGCTAGCGAAGCTCTTCCGTTTTGATTTCGGTAGCCATAACTATCCGCTCACATCGAAATCGTTTCTCGTTTGACAAGCGATTCAGCAGCCCAATCCGCCACGCTGCACTCAGTTCGTTGTGAAGTTCCAGCCTCTGATTTTCGGTGAGTACTTCATCGGTGATTCGTCATTTCTTGCAGATTTACGCTTGTTTTTCACATGGAAGATTAATCTAACCAGAACGCGATTTCGCGTTGCAGGTTTTCTTCACTTTCACAGACCATTTGAACTCGACTTCGACGCGCTTCAGCGATTTTTACATCGTCACCAAGCTGCTGTGAAGACGTCGCCCTAAATTCAGCGAGTTCTGGTGAGCGTCTTTTCTTTCGCCGTTTTCAGTCCGTTTCTCATCGTTTGTAGTAATATCCGCAGCCTATTCTCACTTCGTTTTCAACCGACTGATCCTCTTTTTTCCTGATATTGTGCAGGTTCTGCTCACGCTGTCTCGCCAAGCAAACGGGTGGCGGCTGCTCGCTATGTGATTAGGCGTCCCCAGTTTGCGGTTTCGCGTTTTTGTGATGAGGCTTTCGTCGTCCGCGTCGTCGCACGGCAGAATCGTCATCTGCAATTCGTCGCACGGCGAATTTTTCATCCGCGAATCGTGGCGAAATGGTCGCGCGGAAGCAGCATCAGCTCTCCCTCGGTCCTTCTTCAACCGCCAGCTAAGTGCCTTCTTCAACCGTCGCACTCTGCTGCTTTTTGTGCTTGCACCATGCATCACACTCCCACTTTCACTGCTCTCTGTCACACCCATGGGACCTCCCTCCCCCAAGGTAGCAGGTATATTTTTCTTGGTACAGCCTCAGGTATTTGTTTTAGTTTGGTTCAGCTGGTACGAGGTCTCTTGGGTGTGCCACTGCAGCAGTCCATTCATGCACGCATCATGCTTGCGCTTGCTGCGCTTTTCACTTTCACTAGTCTGGGCTTCTTTCCTCACTGCTCTCCCCACTCCTCTGCGCCCCCTTCACTTCCCCATTTTCTCCCCCTTCTCCTCCCTTTTCTCTCTCTCTCCCGATCTGCCCCCTCCCGTCCCAGCAGGTCGCTCACACGGGAGTGGCAGTGGCGGGAGGGGACGGGGACAGAACTCCACTCCGCTGGGATGGGATGGGAGAGTATCGGGATTGAGTCGTCTGAAACAAGGTGAGCCTCTTTTCCCTCGTGCACTCATGCTGCTGCTGGTTCTTCTCCCCATGCTGACTTCCCGTTTCTGCTCCCTTGCTTCCTTGTAGCTTGTGCCTACTCTTCTCCCCATTCTCACTGCTGTCCCTTGATCCCCTGCCTACGTCTACCTTGCTCCCTCCCTCCCAGTACATTGAAGGTTGTAGCAGGGGAGCACGGGGGCAGCGGCAGGGCAGCAGCGGAGGGGAGGGGATGGGCAGCAGCAGCAGCAGCAGCAGGGGAAGCAGAGTAGCAGATCAGGAGTGGCAGTGGCGGCTGACAAGGAGTGCACAGGCAGCAGCTGCTCTCCACCCAACCCACCCACAGCTAAGTACCCCGCCCTTGCTCTCTTCTCCCAACCCTCGCACTCTGTTGCTTTTCATGCCATGCTTGCACCATTCATCACACTCCCTTTATCACTGCTCTCTGTCACACCCATGAGACCTCCCTCCCCCAAGGTAGCAGGTATATTTTTTGCTTGGTACAGCCTCAGGATTTTTTTTTTTAGTTTGGTTTAGCTGGTACGAGGTCTCTTGGGTGCGCCACTGCAGCAGTCCATTCCATTCATGTACTCATCATCCTTGCATTTCCTTCTCCCCTCTTCATTCTCACTTCACTCACTTTATCTGGTTTCTTTCCTCTTTGCCCTCCTCCCTGTTTCTGTCCTGATCCTCTCCCTCTCGTCCCAGCAGGTCGCTCACACGGGAGTGGCAGTGGCGGGGGACATGGAGTGCACAGGCAGCAGCTGCTCCCCACCCAACCCACCCACAGCTAAGTTCCTGCCCTGCTTTTTTTCTCCCAACCGTCTCTGCCGTTCCATTCCATCTTCATCCTAGCTGCCTTCCTCGTTTCGTGTCTCTTCAAACGCCTCTCGTCATGCCACAACTACAAGCCACAGACCCCCTTTTCTTAGGTAAACCCCCCCTGGGAAAGCAGGTATCATCTCAGGTTAAGCCTCCCTAGGTATGTACCCCCCTTGGGTCTGTGGCTTGTAGCTGAGGCTGCACCAGTGGCCTTCTTTCCTGCTCTCACCTTACATTTCTCTCACTTTTGTTGGCCTTACATTGCTCTCACCTTACATTGCTTACTCACTTCCTTTTAGTTTTTTCCTTGCCGGCTGAGGGGAGGGGCGTGGGGGTCAACACCGCCACTCTCCCGCCTCTCCCCTTGTGGCCTTGCAGGTGCCGCTGGGGCTGCGAGGGAGGCAGGGCAGCGATAAGAGCTGAGGGCTACCATAGGGAGAGTATCGGGAGGGTTTTGGCCTTCACTGGTAAGCCCTCTGCTCTTCCTCACTCCCTGTAATTCACTTTCCTCTGCAGTTTCGGTTTACAACCGTTGCTCACCCCTCTCCACTCACTTGTTTTTCTTCTCCTCCATGCCTCCCTCGTCTCTCCCTGCAGCATCAGCAGCCAGTCCGCTCCTGCAGCAGAGGCGCATGCGGGCGGGTTAAGGGGTGTCACTCCTTCCAGAGCATGTGGGCTGCTTGCTGCTGACACGGTGAGTTTCTTCCTCACTCATTCTCTCTCCACCCACCGCTCTAATTTCAGCTGCCATCTCTTGTTCTTGCATTCTTTTTCCACTTGGATGCTCGCTGCATTTTCTATTTCGAATCCCTTCAAAGTTTAGCCTCTGGCCGTGCCACAGCTTCAAGCCACAGACCCTTTTATTTTCCAAGGTAAACAACCCCAGGTACAAAAGGTATTCTCCCTCTCAGGTTAAGCCTACCTTGGTATAAACCTCCCTTAGGTCTGTGGCTGGTAGCTTAGGCTGCACCAGTGGCCCCCTTTTCTGCTGTCAGCTAGCATCCCACCACACCCATGACACCCCTCTCACATTTCCACCCCTATCGACCTACTCACTTCTCTTCAGTGTCCTGCTTGCTGGTTGAGGGGAGGGGCATGGGGTCAACACCGCCGCTTCCCCAGCCCCTCCCCTGGTGGCCTTGCAGGTACCCACGGGGACGGGAAGGAGGCAGCACTGCAGCAGACTGATGCGGGTGCTGCCAGGGAGAGTATCGGGGTGGGCTTGGCACCCTCAAGGTATGTAATCTTACGCCTTGGCCACTCTTCTCCCCCTCTCGAGTTCACTCGCTGCAGCATCTCTCTCTTTAATTCTGCATTCTCGTTTCTGTCCTCTCAAGTGTTCTTCTGTCCACTTGAGTTTCTGTGTTCATGCCAACTCACCAGTTCCTCTTCCCCTCTTCTCTTGTTCCTTCCCCCCATTTTCTGCCCTCTACCAGGTCACTTGGCGTCAAGAGAAGATTGCAGCTGAGGAAGCAGAGTAGCAGACTGGCAGCAGCAGTAGCAGCAGCAGAAGCGGCAGCGACAGCAGCAGTAGCAGCAGCGGGGGTTGGGGGGCTAGGGGCAGGTTAGGCTAGCTAGTTGTGGGTGAGGTACGGTACAGGTGTGGTATGGTACAAGTAGGCTCTCTCTCTTCCCCCCTTCTCCCCGCAGGCTGAGGGTGGGAGCACTGGAACAAGGGCGGGAGAGTGGAGTCCACCTTCTCACTCACCTCCTCCTCTCTCCCTTTTCCCTCCCCTCCCAGCAGCACCCTGCCTGGATCACAGAGGAGTCTCTCCCTCCGTAACTCCCCCTTCTCTCTCCACTTCGCAGCAGCCTCAGCATGCATCATGGCACTCTGCACGGCTGTGGTAAGTGGAGGTAAGTACAGGTAAGGAGGCATGGGGGTGAAGTGTGGGGTGGGTGGGTGGGGAGCATGGGAGCAAGCGGGGAGTTCACTGCCTTAGGGGCAGCACCCTCTGGGGTTGTGCCTTGTGGTGGTGGGGTGTGGTGGGTGGAACTTTCTCGGCACGGCACTCGGTGCTCAAGTAACCGAACTGGCGTTTAAGGCTTAATGGACACCATCAGAGTCGACCGGCCGGCGGCTCTGGTTCGCGTCAGCTCTAGCTACGTCAGGGGTGGGATTTGAGTCTTGGGCTGGAAGCAAATTTCCACTACCACACCTCGCCCCACAAGGCGCCACCTCTGGGGGTGCTGTTTCCTTAAGAAAGTGGGCTGTCTGCTGCTCCTACTGCTGGTAGGTGAGTGTGGGGATGGGCTGGGTGGGTGAGTGAGAGAGAAGGGGCCTGAAACCCCTTGAGCAGGTGGGTGAGAGGGAAGGGGCCTGAATCCCCTTGGGTTGGGTTGGTGAGAGGGAAGGGGGCTTGAACCCTGTGGGTCGGTGAGTAAGGGAGAAAGGGGTTTGAACCCGTTGGGTGGGTGACTGAGAGAGAAGGGGGCTTGAACCCCTTGGGTGGGTGACTGAGAGAGAAGGGGGCTTGAACCCCTTGGATGGGTGAGTGAGAGAGAAGGGGGTTTGAACCCCTTGGGTGGGTGAGTGAGAGAGAAGGGGGTTTGAACCCCTTGGGTGGGTGACTGAGAGAGAAGGGGGTTTGAACCCCTTGGGTGGGTGAGTGAGAGAGAAGGAGTGAACCCCTTGGGAGGGATGGGTGAGACGGAAGGGGTGAATCCCCTTGGGTGGGATGGGTGAGAAGGAAGGGGTGAATCCCCTTGGGTGGGATGGGTAGAAGGAAGGGGTGAATCCCTTTGGGTGGGATGGGTGAGAAGGAAGGGGGCTCTCTGCTGCTCCTACTGCTGGTAGGTGAAGGTGGGGATGGGCTGGCTGGGTGAGTGGGAGGGGGGCTGAACCCCCTTGGGTGGGTGAGTGATGGGGAGGGGTGAGGCTGAACCTCCTTGGGAGGGTGAGCGATGGGGAGTGGGGCTGAACCCCCTTGGGTTGGGCCAGAAACCCGTAAGGCAGGTGGGTGAGTGGGTGGGTGGGTGAATGGGAGGTTGGGTAAGTGGGTGGGTGGGTGAATGGGAGGGTGGGTGAGTGGGTGGGTGGGTGAATGGGAGGGTGGGTGAGTGGGTGGGTGGGTGAATGGGAGGGTGGGTGAGTGGGTGGGTGGGTGAATGGGAGGGTGGGTGAGTGGGAGAGAGGAATGCGGGCTGAAACCTTCAGGTGGGTGGGTGAGTTGGAGAGTGGGAGAGAGTGATTGGGGCGTAGATCCCCTTGGTGGGAGAGTGTAGGCGAGTGGGCAAGAGGGATAGGGGCTTAAACCCCTAAGGTGGTGTGAGGGTTGGTGAGTGGCAGAGAGGAATTGGGACAGAATCTCTTAAAGTGTGTTGGTGAGTGGGAGCGAGGGGTGGGGACTGAAACACCTAGAGGGTGTTGGTGAGTGGGAGCGAGGGATGGGGACTGAAACCCCTAACATGGGTGGGTGGTTAAGTGGGAGCGAGGGATGGGGACTGAAACCCCTAAAGGGGTTTGGGTGAGTGGGAGCGAGGGATGGGGACTGAAACCTCTAAAGGGGGTTTGTGGGTGGGAGTGAGGGATGGGGACTGAAACCCCTAAAGGGGGTTGGTTAGTGGGAGCGAGGGATGCGGACTGAAATCCCTAACATGGGTGGGTGGTTGAGTGGGAGAGAGGGATGGGTGGGGTGAAAGATGGGAAGGTGGGTGAGTGGGAGAGAGGGATGGGTGCTGCAGCAACCCCTAGGGAGTGGAATGGAATGCAGAAGTTGAAACCCCTTTGGTGGGTGCCTGGAAGAGAGAGTTGGTGCTGAATCCTCTAAGGTGGGGGAGTTGGTGAGAGTGGTGGCTGAGTATCCTAAGGTGGGAGATTGGAAGAGGGATGGTACCTGTAGAGTGCAAGAGATGGGACACGACACCCTTAATGTGTGACTTATTCTCAAGGCGCACAAGTGGGAAACCCATTTTGAGGCAAGCAAGAGGCATGGTGAACCCACTTGACCGCCTTTTGCACATGGCTGCTCTAGGATTTCCACCATCGTCTTGTGACGGGATGGCATGGTGGTATGACCATGATGAAGGGTGATTGGATCTGAATAGGCCCAACGCAAGGTGGTCAGCCCACTTGGCAGCCCAAGTGTATGCCTGCCCCTGTTTGCACAGATGGATGAGCAGAGTGGGGGTGGTGTGGCCGGCTGTCATTGGAATGACATGTTGTAACATGATCTAGAATTAGTACGTACTGCCACATTTTGTTGGCACTGATGGATGAATATGGCTGTGTTGTGGCCCATAGCATAGAGATGTTTTCTTTCAGGGATTGATGCATTTTGATATTTGGTTGTATACAACGCTTTTTTGTGTGCAAAATAAAATAGATTGGGCTTCTATCCTCCATTGGTCGTATATATTGAGTGCATTACTTCAAGAGAGTATTTTAGGGAGTTGCAGGGCTGGAAAGCTCTGAGGTGTTTTATGCAATTATAGATTTCAATTTCATAGATTTGAAATAATATAACGTAAAGAATACATTTAGTGCACGAACATGCGCTTTTCCAGCCCACCCATGATTTTACCGAACCCTGAATCCTGGGCCTTTCAAAACCCTGGAGCCATCCGTATTTTCCTCCTCTTTCGCTCTTAGCTTCCTTAGCCTCAGGTTTTATCTGGCCCTTCGCGTCCGCGTAGTTTCTGTGGCTGCGCGTGCTGTAGCGCGAACCAAAGCGCACCATGCTTAAGAAAAAGAGAGTAAGTGGACGTTGCCTTCGGCATGGATGTCGAATTTTTCGTTGCGTGCGGTCGCTGACCCGTGTCAGTGCCGCTGGGCCGTGGCTGTGGCATCTAAGAAACTTCTCCATAGCCGGATCACGTGATCTCCTTTTCTAGCCCGCGTGGTCCTCCTCTCCGTTGCTTTCAGATTCGTCGCGTAGCCGGTTCGAGAAATCTCTATAGCTTTCATTTCCTCGTGCTAATTTTCGTCTCTAATCAATTGTCCGCGGAGCAGGGGAAGGAGGGAAATGCGGCCAAGTACACGACGCGCAATCAGGCGCTCGTGCGCCTGCAGCTCAAACTAGCCGACTTCAGGTGTGTCTGGGTGTTGCGTTTAAGGATGTAACAAGTCGGATGATAAAATAACTCATATATCGCAGCTGAAGCTATCCGAGTTTTGGTGCGTTAGGGGTCTTGATGCGTTTCCGGGGTGCCTCGCTTGGATAGCGAAACCTTGATTCCAACTCAGCTAGTACCGTGCCTCGATCTGCACTCATCTTAGTGCTTACTCAAATGCATTTCCTTTACCCGCGCACCCACCGCTGCGCTACTTGCGGCCGCTTAGCTTCTCCACCCCACGCTCATCTCCCGTTCATCCACTCCCCCCCCCCCCACCCCCCCCTCTTCCCCCCCGCCCCCCGGCAGGCGGCTGTGCATCCTGAAGGGCATTCACCCGCGCGAGCCGAAGAAGAAGACTAAGGGCGCGCACAAGACGTACTACCATGTCAAGGACATCAACTTCCTCGCGCACGAGCCGCTGCTCGAGCTCCAAAGGTCAGCACAACGCCGTTTCCTAGTACTGTATGAATTGCTCTTTGAACTAACTACCATGTCAAGGACATTAACTTCCTCGCGCATGAGCCGCTGCTCGAGCTCCAGAGGTGTGTCTCATTGCACGGGTTAGTAGCGTCGCCGCTCGTAGAGGTATACCAGTAGTTTAGCGCGCTTATCACTGGCACTTCACTCTGCGAAGCCCGGCATCAGCTTATCACTGGCACTTTACTCTGTGAATTCCAGGAACCTGGTGCCGGGCTTTCACCCGGTCAACCCCGACTCCTCGCATTGTATGCCCTTAAGCCGTCACCCACTGCGTGACCTCCCAACCTTACCCTAATCTCCCTTGATTCTTCTCGCCTCATCTCGCGACCGCGTGCAGGGAGATGCGCTCGCAGAGGAAGAAGATCCGGAGACGGAGAAGGTGGAGCGACTGGAACGATGTTCTGTAGGCCTCTCAAAGATATCCCCCAAACCGTGCCCCATCTCAAACCGTGTCCCCTCTCAACCCATTCCCCATCTCGACTCGTGCCTCATCTCGCGTCCGCGTGCAGGGAGATGCGCGCGCAGAGGAAGAAGATCCGCAAGGCCAAGGGGCGCCTGGAGACGGACAAGGTGGAGCGACTGGAACGCAGCATGCCGCGCGTGTCACTGGACCACCTTGTGAAGGAGAGGTGAGTACGTGTGGCGTGGCGAGCGGCTGTAGCGAGGAAGGTTGGGAGGAGCTGCGTCTAGCGAGTCTGTTCTTGAAGCGCCTTAGAAGCAGCATGCCCCGCGTGTCGCTGGACCACCTTGTGAAGGAGCGGTGAGTACGTGTGGCGTGGCGAGCGGCTGTACTATAGCGAGGGTGACTAACCAGGAGGTGCGTGCTGCTGCCAGTTCGTGACGACGGCCTGACACGAACTCATCATGCAGTACCTATTTGCCACGCTGTCATTCTGTCTCCCTTCTCCCCCTTTTCCTGATCCCCAGGTACCCATCGTTCATGGATGCGACCAGGGATCTGGATGATGTATTGACCATGCTGCACCTCTTCGCCACCCTGCCACTCCCATTCCCTTCCCGTTCCCTCTCTGGCCTCTCTCACGCCCCTCCCCCTCTCATGCACCCACGCAGGTACCCATCGTTCATCGACGCTATCAGGGACCTTGACGACGCGCTCACCATGCTGCACCTCTTCGCCACTCTGCCCGCCGATGCCACCTTCCGCATCCCTGCCACCCGCGTCAACAATGCGCGCAGGTGAGGGGGGAGGGGGGGAGGGGGTTTGGGGTTTGTGGGGCGGTAAAGAGGAAAGGGAGTGTCGTTTGAGCTGCTACGCTGCCCGCCGATGCCACCTTCCGCATCCCCGCCACCCGTGTTAACAACGCGCGCAGGTGAGGAGAGGTCAGGGGAGTCGGAGGATGGGGTATGGGGGGATGGGGAATGGGGGATGGGGGATGGGGGATGGGGTATGGGGGATGGGGGATGGGGGATGGGGTATGGGGGATGGGGTATGGGGGATGGGGTATGGGGGATGGGGTATGGGGGACGGGGTATGGGGGATGGGGTATGGGGGATGGGGTATGGGGGAGGATAGGTTCGGGGTTTGTGGGGAGGAGGTGGGGGGAGGGGGGAGGAGTGAGTGGAATGATTGAGCTGACTCACTGCCGCCACCTTCCGCATCCCCGCCGCTCGCGTTAACAACTCTTGCAGGTGAGGGGGGCTGAGATTGGGGGTTTGGGGCTGGGGGGTTTGAGAGAGGTTTGACGGGATGGAGGTGGGGCTTGGGGGGGAGGAGTAATTTTGAGACGTCTCAAAACACTCCTTCTTTCACAAGGAGTAAGGGGGGCAGATCTTGCACTGGCGCACTGCTTGCCGGCACCGCACCACTTTTGAGGCGCCTCAAAAGTCTTGCACTGGCCCACTGCTTGCCGGCACCGCACCACCTTCTTGAGTACCACACCTGCCTGGGGATCTCCAACCTCCAAGTGGGTCAACAACGCTTGTGGGTGATCCCCATGTGATCCCCATACCATACCCCATACACGCCCATACCCGCTGCACCCACACAGACTGTCTCTGGAGTGGCAGGCATACATCACGCGCACTCACGCCCTGCGCAAGGTGTTCGTATCGGTCAAGGGCATCTACTACCAGGCGCAGGTCGTGGGGCAGCCAGTGACGTGGCTGGTGCCACATCAGCTCATGCAGGTCATGCCCACTGACGTGGACTTCCGCGTCATGCTCACCTTCCTCGAATTCTACGAGGTTAGTTTGGGTGTGAAGGGGGGGATGGGGGGGAGGAGGAACAGTGCTGGCGGGGGGTGTTGAGTGCACGGGAGCAGCAGGTCATGCAGGGCAGGCCATGCGGGGCAGGCCATGCAGGGCAGGCCATGCAGGGCAGGCCATGCAGGGCAGGCCATGCAGGGCAGGCCATGCAGGGCAGGCCATGCAGGGCAGGCCATGCAGGGCAGGCCATGCAGGGCAGGCCATGCAGGGCAGGCCATGCAGGGCAGGCCATGCAGGGCAGGCCATGCAGGGCAGGCCATGCGGGGCAGGCCATGCAGGGCAGGTCATGCAGGGCAGGTCATGCAGGGCAGGCCATGCAGGGCAGGCCATGCAGGGCCATGCAGGGCAGGCCATGCAGGGCAGGCCATGCAGGGCAGGCCATGCAGGGCAGGCCATGCAGGGCAGGCCATGCAGGGCAGGCCATGCAGGGCAGGCCATGCAGGGCAGGCCATGCAGGGCAGGCCATGCAGGGCAGGCCATGCAGGGCAGGCCATGCAGGGCAGGTCATGCAGGGCAGGTCATGCAGGGCAGGCCATGCAGGGCAGGCCATGCAGGGCAGGCCATGCAGGGCAGGCCATGCAGGGCAGGCCATGCAGGGCAGGCCATGCAGGGCAGGCCATGCGGGGCAGGCCATGCAGGGCAGGTCATGCAGGGCAGGTCATGCAGGGCAGGCCATGCAGGGCAGGCCATGCAGGGCAGGCCATGCAGGGCAGGTCACGCCCACTCACATTTAAGTGCATTTTGAGGCGCCTCAAAATGCAGGGCAGGTCATGCAGGGCAGGCCATGCAGGGCAGGCCATGCAGGGCAGGTCATGCAGGGCAGGTCACGCCCACTCACATTTAAGTGCATTTTGAGGCGCCTCAAAATGCAGGGCAGGTCATGCGGGGCAGGTCACGCCCACTCACGTGGACTTCCGTGTGATGCTCACCTTCCTCGAATTCTACGAGGTTAGTTTGGGATGGGCTTTATCGGAATGGGTGCGTGGGTGGTGCTTATGGGGTTGTGGGGGGTGGGGGGGGTGCACACCTTACTAGAGCTCTACAAGGTACGGCCCTTTGAGTCCCTTGGTGGTGGGGTGCGTAGGGGGTGTGTTGTGAGATCCACAGCCTCTCAATCCACACCTTCTCCCCTCCCCTCACCCCCCTGCATCCCCCCTGCCCGTCTTGCATCCTCTGTCCTGCACACCCTAGTGGGCTGTGTCAATTTCAACCTCTAACACGAACTGCCTCTTTAAAAGAGAATTGACTTACCATTTTACTCCACATCCTCTCCCCCCTCACCTCTCTCCCCCCCCCCTCCCCTCCCCCACCTCCCACATCCCTCCCCCACCAGACCCTAATGGGTTTTGTCAACTTCAAGCTGTACCACGAGCTGCGCCTCGCCTACCCTCCTCGCCTCGACCCGCGTCTCGAGAAGGCTGCAGCAGGTGCGCTCCCTCGGCATTGTTGTGTTTCCGCCAGCTGAAGCCGTGTGGCTTGTGGTTTTTCCATGTGCTCCCTTTCTCTTGACGCCTGTTTGATGTGATGTGCAAGTTAGCAGATGCACCAGAACACCCATCTGTCTTGAAGTGTGGTGCTTGTGCCACGTTTAAGTAGACGACTTTTGAGACGTCTCAAAAGTGTGGTGCTTGTGCCACGTTTCAAACCCCAAATTTACCGCCCACACTTCAAGACGGATGGGTGTGCTGGTGGCACACCAGTACGCCCACACATCAAAGCCCTTTTTGCCTCCTGCCTTTTCTCGCCCACCCCATCAGACCTGTATGCTGTGATGCGCAAGCTAGCAGAGGCGGCAGCGGCAGGCCACACGGCTCTGCATTTACACGTGCTGTGTGTGCTGCATGCAAACCCAGAATTTACCATCGTTCCCCTCCGATCCACCCTCCTCTCTCCCACGTATTCTGCTTGCCCACCCATCAGACCTGTATGCGGTGATGCGCAAACTGGCAGAGGCGGCAGCAGCAGCGAGGCAGAAGCGAGAGAGGAAGGCCTTCAAGGAAGCTGCCGCTGCTTCTGCCGCTCTTCTTGGCGCTGCTCCTACTGCTGCTGCGGCTGGTGCTGGTGATGATGCTGCGTTGCAAAAGAGGGCTGAGAAGAGCGCAGATGGGGGAGGAGAGGAGGGGAAGGCAGAGGGAGAGGCAGACGGTGCTGCTGCTGCATCGACAGCAGCAGAACCAGCAGCGGGAGAAGGAGAGGGCGCAGCGGCAGCAGAACCCGCAGTGGATGCAGAGAAGGAAGCATCAGAGAAGCTTCCCTTGCTGCGCAAGCAAGCAACAGCATCGCGAATGGCATCTCTACAGAGCCGCCTAGCAGCCATGGCTGCCGCAGCAGAGGCCAACCCCGACGAGGAGGAGAAGGCAGAGGGTGGTGCGGGGAGAAAAGGCGCGGGTAGAGCAGAGGCAGAGGAGGAGGAGGAGGAGGAGGAGGGGGACGAGGATGATGAGGAGACGAGGGCGTGTGGGCGGTTGTTCAGAGGGCTTGTGTTTTTTCTCGGGCGGGAGGTGCCCAGGGAGCCGCTGCTGTTTGTGATTCGGGCGTTTGGGGGCAAGGCCAGCTGGGAGGGCGAGGGTGCACCGGCTCCTGAGACTGATGAAGCCATCACTCACCAGGTGGGCACTCCCTGAGTACTTGCATCACATCACATTGCTGCCGTCTCCTTAGACGTCTCAAAACACTCACATTGCTGCCGTCTCCTTGGTCACCTCCTTCTTTATCTCCCTCTTCCGTCCTCTCTTCTCTCCTCCCTCCCCCACCACCATGCTTCCAGGTGGTGGATCGGCCACAGCAGAAGCACAGCAATCTCTCACGGGACTACGTGCAGCCGCTGTGGGTGTTTGACTGCTACTCACCTTAACCCCTCTGCTTTTGCCCTCCTCCCTCCTCCCGCTGTAACCCCCCCCACCACACCACGCCATCAGGTGGTGGACCGGCCGCAGCAGAAGCACCGCAATCTCTCACGGGACTACGTGCAGCCGCAGTGGGTGTTTGACTGCGCCAATGCACGCATCCTGCTGCCCTCCGCGCCCTACGCCCCTGGCCTGTGAGTGCTGCCCTCCGCGCCCTACGCCCCTGGCCTGTGAGTGCTGCCCCTCCGCGCCCTACGCCCCTGGCCTGTGAGTTCTGCCCCTCCGCGCCCTACGCCCCTGGCCTGTGAGTGCTGCCCCTCCGCGCCCTACGCCCCTAGCCTGTGAGTGCTGCCCTCCGCGCCCTACGCCCCTGGCCTGTGAGTGCTGCCCTCCGCGCCCTACGCCCCTGGCCTGTGAGTGCTGCCCCTCCGCGCCCTACGCCCCTGGCCTGTGAGTGCTGCCCCTCCGCGCCCTACGCCCCTGGCCTGTGAGTGCTGCCCCTCCGCGCCCTACGCCCCTGGCCTGTGAGTGCTGCCCCTCCGCGCCCTACGCCCCTGGCCTGTGAGTGCTGCCCCTCCGCGCCCTACGCCCCTGGCCTGTGAGTGCTGCCCCTCCGCGCCCTACGCCCCTGGCCTGTGAGTGCTGCCCCTCCGCGCCCTACGCCCCTGGCCTGTGAGTGCTGCCCCTCCGCGCCCTACGCCCCTGGCCTGTGAGTGCTGCCCCTCCGCGCCCTACGCCCCTGGCCTGTGAGTGCTGCCCCTCCGCGCCCTACGCCCCTGGCCTGTGAGTGCTGCCCCTCCGCGCCCTACGCCCCTGGCCTGTGAGTGCTGCCCCTCCGCGCCCTACGCCCCTGGCCTGTGAGTGCTGCCCTCCGCGCCCTAAGCCCCTGGCCTGTGAGTGCTGCCCCTCCGCAGTGCAAGTGCCTACCCGTTCCTGTCCGCAACCTCTCCCCTCCCCTGTCCCCGTCCCCCTTCTCCCCCACCCACACCACCTTATCCCTGATCCTTTCAATCACATGGACAGTGTGCCGCCGCCCCCCACCTCTCCCCTTTTGTGAACCACCATTGAACAAGCATTTCTGAAGCGCACTAAGTACCACCCTCCCCCACTGTACCCCCTTCTTCAATCCCATGAGCAGTGTGCCACAACCCCACCTCTCCCCCTTCGTGAACCACGAGGAGGAGGGCTATCTACCCGAGCATGCTGACTACCCCCTTCTTCAACCCCACCCCCTCCCGCCCCCCTTCACCCCTTTCTTCATTCCCACGAGCAGTGTGCCACCGCCGCACCTCTCCCCCTTCGTGAACCACGAGGAGGAGGGCTACCTGCCCGACTATGCCGTTTCACTTCGCTCATGCATGTGTATCCCCTCCTTCCCCCCTCTCCCCAACACCCACGAGCAGTGTGCCGCCACCACACTTCTCCCCCTTTTTGAATCACGAGGAGGAGGGCTATCTGCCCGACTATGCCCATGTGACTCGTCACTCACTCCATCCGACACTCATGTCTAAAATGCGTGCCAAGTATCTCTTCCCCCCTTCCCCCCCTCTCCCCCCAGTGTACCGCCACCCCATCTCTCCCCCTTCGTGAACCACGAGGAGGAGGGCTACCTGCCCGACTATGCCGCGGCGATCCAACGGCTGAAAGAGGCCGCAGCGGCGCGAGATGCTGCACAGCACAAAGGGGCGGCAGGGGGCATGCTGGGCATGGGGGCAGGGGGGTCGCTGATGGAGCTGGAGGGGGCGCATGAAGTGAGGATGAGTGGCGAGGGGAGTGTGGCGGTGGGTGGAGGGGAGGACGAGGTGAAGGCAGAGGAGGCTGCACTGGCTGCCAAGATTGCAGAGGTAAGGGATTACTGCTTTTGGGCTGCTTCTGGCTGGTTTCCTCATGTATTCAAAGTTGTGATGCTGACAAGGTGAAGACGCAGGTTGTTGTCTCATGTGCTTTCAAATGTGAGGAGGCTCGGTTAACCCCTTTAGTTTGCGACGTCGGCTGTTCTTGACATGATTGTCACGATGCGTCATAGTTAACATGATTGTGCCTTGGCTTCGGTAACCAGGTTGCGGCTGAAGAGAAGGCCTACGCTGCTGATCTGGCCAAGGAGCTTTCAGGGGTTCCGTTCTCCTCCTCGCTGGTCCAAGGCAAGGGTATCAAGGACAGGGAGGAGGACGATGAGGGGGATAACACTGCGGAAGGAGAGGAAGAGGAAGAGGGCGAAGGAGGTGAGGCAGACGAGGAAGAAGATGAGGACGAGGAAGGGGAGGGTGAGGAGGAGGAGGAGAGGCAAGGAGGAGCAGCAGCAGTGCCAGCAGCTGGGGAGGAGAATGAGGAGGACGGGGGCAAGGCGGCTGCGCGCATGCTGATGAGTCGCAAGAGGCGGGGGCTGTATGACGCCATGCAGATGGGCCGAGCCAAGAAGGCTGCCGGTGTTGCTCTCCTGCACGAGCGCCGCCTTAAAGCCGCTGCTGCTGCCGCTGGTGGTGGTGCTGCTGCAAAGGGTGCTGGTGGTGCTGGTGGTGGTGCAAAGGGTGCTGGTGGTGGTGCAAAGGGTGCTGGTGAGGGTGGTAAGAAGGGTGGGCAACAGGGGAAGAAAGCGAAGCAGGAGAAGAAGGGGTGGCGATAAGGCTGTAGGAGCATGCTGATGAGTCGCAACAGGAGGGGGTTGTATGATGCCATGCAGATGGGCCGAGCCAAGAAGGCTGCCGGTGTTGCTCTCCTGCACGAGCGCCACCTTAAAGCTGCCGCTGCTGGTGGTGCTGCTGTGAAGGGTGTTGGTGGTGGTGCAAAGGGTGCTGGTGGTGGTGATAAGAAGGGGAAGAAAGCGAAGCAGGAAAAGAAAAGCTGGCGATAAGAGAAGGAAGTTTCTGTTCCTCCTAAGGACAATATGGAGGTGCCTCTTGTGATGGATCATTTTTGTGACCACTGTAATGATGAATTTGATCTCGGAGGAATATTTTTCTAAATGTTGGAACCCAGTAGGTTCCTGGTTAGTGAAAAAGGGGTTAGGGGATGTGGACCAGCCTTGTTTCTTTACAGTATTGCAGAGCATGGTACGGTTTCAGAGTGGCATTGCACTTGTGTGGTGCACTGCTGCTGAGTCTCGTTTCTGCCAATTACTGGTACCGGTATAACAAATCTGTACACACGTCAAGCCAGCAAGCACTGTCCCAGTACCACATGTCAAGTCTGCTGTGCAGCGTTGTGAGCTTGCCAAGCGTAGCCACCACAGCACAGCTCAGCAGCGCAATACACCGCACCGCACCGCACCGCAATCATCACAAATCTGCAATCAGCTTAGCTATTCTGTCGCGCCGTCTGTTGCGCTCCTCCTCCCCATCCAAGTCCCCAATGTTCTCGCTGTACTCCTGATAACGTGCAGTGCAGACACACAGACAAGGACGGCAAGGAGAGGGAGAATGAAAAGGGGGAATGGAAGGGGTGGTAAGGGACAAGACACTTCTGCCTCCTCCCCATCCAGGTCTCTAATGTTGTTGCTGTACCCCTAATGATACGCGCGCGCGCACACACACACACAGGGAGGGAGGGTGGGAATGGAGGGGTGGTAAGAGACACAAGACTTCTGCAGTTGCAATATTCCCCTCACCTGCAGCATTACTTTCACCCGCACTATCCCCTTTGCGGTTCAAAACCCCTCACCTGCAGAATGGTCTTCACATGGTCTCTTGAGAGCTTCTGCTGTCGCAGCAGCAGGTCGATACGATGCCTCATTCCCCCATGCCTGGCAGCATGGGAGAGGAGATGAGCAGGCGATGATTTGGGGGATGAGAGTCGAGATGAGTGAGAGATGGTACGAGGAAAAGAGAGAATCTGAAGGGATGGATAAGGGAGGCAGGAAAGGACGTGCCTGGGGTAGAGCGTATGGTAAGGCAGGGAGAGAGGGAGGGAGAGTTGCAGGGAGCAGTGAAGGAGGCTGTGAGTGGTGCTGTGAAAGCAATGGAGCGCCACAACAGCGGACATGCTAGAAGAAATGTGGACAGCAAAACATGGCATGTGGTAGGCAGCATGTGGAAGGAGGCATGTGGGTGAGAAGGAGAACGATGAGAGCAGGAGGCATGTGGGGTTGCTTACTCTGCAGCCCAGAGGTGGGCGAGGATGAGCGCGATGAGCTGATGATGAATGTGGTCCATCCCGCATAAGTGGGCGTTAGAAGGTGACACGCAACACGAAGGGGGGAGGAGGAGAGGCGGGGGGGGGGAATGTGGGAGGGTGGTGAGGGGGGGTTGGTGATTAGAGGGGAGGGAGAGGAGGGGAGACAGTAAGAGGCAGGAGAGTGGGGCAGACAGTATCCACAGGAAAGAGACCGGGAGCTAGCAGGAGAGCAGCAGTGCACTGTGTTTTGAGTCGGCTCAAAACACGACTCAAAGCAGGAACGCAGCAGTGTGCACTCGCTTAACAGTGAGGTAGCGGGGGGCCACAACGGGGGAGGCACAGAATAGCGTTGGGGGAGAAAATAGGGACATGTGGGGAGGCACACCTGCAGTAGGGGGATGGCGCACCTGCAGTGTGAAGAGGCCTGCCTCCAGGCGAGCCAAATACCGATCTTCATCTGTCATCTGTGCGAGTGAGAGGGGGACGGGGGATGAAGAGGGGGGAGAATTTCTTAGGCGCCTCAAAAAGTGCCTCCAGGCGAGCCGGATGACGATCTTCATCTGTCATCTGTGCGTGTTAGAGAGTGGGAAGGGGGATGAAAGGAGGGGCTGTATTTGAAGCGCCTCCAAAATTGCCTCCATGCGAGCGAGATAACGACCCTCATCTGACATCTGTATGAAGGGATGAGGGCAGAGGGGATAGGGAGAGGGAAACGAGCTGAGGGGGAGGAGAAGGGGAGACCAGGAAAGAGACAAAGAGATGGAGGGGGGGAGGAGGAGGGATGCAGAGGAGGAAGGGAGATGAGGAGGAAGAAAGGACAAGACTAGGTATGGTTGCAATGGGCCCCCCCACTCTCCCCCTCGTCCCCTGACGCCCCCTCCCATCTCCCCTTCTCCCAAAGAAACAGGAAGGAAGGAAACTTCACCTCTTCGTCCTCCTCCTCCTCCCCCTGCTGCCTCAGCATCTCTCGTCTTCTCTGCTGCTCCTCCTGCCGCCTTTCTTCCGCCCGCACCCTCTCCCAGTACCTGCCATTGGGAGGAGGAAGAGTGGGGGAGGGGGGTGAGGGAGGCGTGAATGGAGCAGCTGGCACAGCTGGCACTCACCCGCTCCCAGTCCCTTCCACAATACTTCTCCACTCCATCACTCTCTCACCCTCTCTCTACCTTTCCTCTCTCTCACTAGATATACAGCTCCAGCAGATGGCCGATATTCTCATACTCTCCTTCCACGAACAAACTGAATATGATAAGATTCAACACAATCCTCATCGTTTTGAGGTGACTTTTGAGTCGAGGTGACAACAACCTCGCTTCACAAACTGAATATGATAAGATTCAACACAATCCTCATCGTGACTTTTGAGTCGACTCAAAAGTCACCTCGTTATGATAAGATTCAACACAATCCTCATCGTTTTTCCTCTGTCGCGCTCCCTGATACACTCCCACTCCCTCATTCCCTCACTCCCCCACTCCCTCACTCACTTCATATACAGCTCCAACAAATGATCAATCTTCTCATACTCTCCTTCCACGAACTTGCTCAGCACCCGGTCCCTCCGTGACCCCTTGGACAGCCCCGCTGGTACGAGTGGGTGCAAAGGGGTGGAGATAGGTTGGAAGAGGTGTTGAGTCTCGAAAAACAGTGTTTTTCTGAGCCCTTGAAAGAGATGAACTGACACGTAGAGTGCATCGAGGCAGTGAATGAGTTGACCCGTACGAACGGATTAGGGCAGCACGATGACACGTACAGAGCAGGGAGGCGATGAGGGAGATGACACGTACAGAGCAGGGAGGCAATGAGGGAGATGACACGTACAGAGCAGGGAGGCAATGAGGGAGATGACACGTACAGAGCAGGGAGGCAATGAGGGAGATGACACGTACAGAGCAGGGAGGCAATGAGGGAGATGACACGTTCGTCTATCTCCTGCTGCAGCTGAAGCGTCTCTGACTTATCCTTGCGCTTCACTGTCACCTGCACATGGCACACAGGGCAGAGCGCATAGCACAGCACACAGCACACACGACACGATGCTACCTCATAATTGATATGATAGCGCAAAGCACCCATCAACGGATGCTGCTAGCTAATCTGTGCTGCACAGCACGCCTTGTTCACAATCCTGCTTCTCCTGTAACCACCAATGGATCCCCACGTAGGAGGCATGGCGTGGGGATCCATTCGCCTTATTCACAATCCTGCTTCTCCTGTAACCACCAATGGATCCCCACGTAGGAGGCATGGCGTGGGGATCCATTCGCCTTATTCACAATCCTGCTTCTCCTGTAACCACCAATGGATCCCCACGTAGGAGGCATGGCGTGGGGATCCATTCGCCTTATTCACAATCCTGCTTCTCCTGTAACCACCAATGGATCCCCACGTAGGAGGCATGGCGTGGGGATCCATTCGCCTTATTCACAATCCTGCTTCTCCTGTAACCACCAATGGATCCCCACGTAGGAGGCATGGCGTGGGGATCCATTCGCCTTATTCACAATCCTGCTTCTCCTGTAACCACCAATGGATCCCCACGTAGGAGGCATGGCGTGGGGATCCATTCGCCTTATTCACAATCCTGCTTCTCCTGTAACCACCAATGGATCCCCACGTAGGAGGCATGGCGTGGGGATCCATTCGCCTTATTCACAATCCTGCTTCTCCTGTAACCCACCAACCCACCTTCCTCCCCGCTCACCCGCTCACTGTTCCTGCTCACCTCCCCTCCCTCACCTTGCGCATGGAAGCGGAGAACAGGGTTTTGAGCCCCAGCACATCCACAAACCGCTCGCACTCAGCGGGACAGCGCGTGGTGGTGACTCACACGTGTATGCGGCAGGGGCCAACTGACCTTATTCATAAAAGCGGAGAAGAGCGTTTTCAGCCCCAGCACGTCCACCACCTTCCACCACCTTCCACCACCTTCCACCACCTTCCACCCCCTTCACCCGCTCACCTTATTCATAAACGCGGAGAACAGCGTCTTGAGCCCCAGGACGTCCACGAACCGCTCGCACGCAGCGGGGCAGCGCGTGGTGGCGAAATCAAGAGCCTTCATGGCGGAGGAGTAGGCAAGCTTCCTTTGCTTCATCGTGATAATCATAAGCTCTACTCCCTCCGATTTCACGAATCGCTCCTTATTCTCGTCCACCATCACCACGCTGCACAGCGCGTCGAAGATATTTTCCAGCATTTCCTCCTCTTCCGTCGTCTTCGGATCGCGCGATTTGTAGTTCGCCGCGGCTTGCAGCAGCGAATCCACGCCGTTCATCGCGCCGACTCGTTTTTGGTTCGCGGAGCTGCCTTGGAGCAGGATCGCGAGGATCTCGCTCGCGTATAGTTTATTCGCGTCGAACTCTTTAACGCGTATTCGAGCCAGTAACCAGCGTAGCAGTCGGGTCCGTTCGCAGACGGCTTCGGCGACGGATGGCAACGCCTCGATCATATTCTCGAAAATACCTAACGTCGTGAAAACGGCGTTACCTTCTTCGCTATCCTTTTCGTCCAATC